CCTATGAGATAGATTCCTGGGTGCCTGCCTCATCCTTGCTCCACAGACACTCCTGCCTTCCACTCCTGTGAGGCCTCAATGCAAAAAGAAGGAGAGAAAGGGAAGTGTGTCTGCCCAGAAACAGAACAGGGTCCTATAGCTATCCACACTGCACCCATGCCATACTTCCAGGACAATAGCACTAAATGGAGAACAAAAAACAGCAGACACACCAAGAAAAGTCACAGGAAGAGGAAAACTAAGGCCTGAAATGAAAATGCTTTATTCCTCATAAATTATGTAGCCAATTGTGAGTGCTGTTAATTAAAACCACTTGACAGAAATAGATATTGAAGTTGAGAGAGGCTCAGAGATTTGTCTATCACACAGCTGCCAAGTAGCAGCATTCAAATGAAGACTTAGGTCCTGGGAAGAGGATGCTGTTAGAGTCTGAGAGAAACCCCCAAGAAAAGACCAACAGCCACATACATAATAAACAAGAGTGCTTTATTTATTCAACATTGGGGTGGGAAATACCAACCCCCAAAGAAGGTGGCAAGCTCATTTTAAATGGAGTTAGGGGAATTTCAGGGAGGAGGAATTAATCTGGGATTGGTCTGGAGGACGATTGGTGCGAGGCTCTGGTGGTTAGGGACCTTCCAGAGGTAGGGTACAGAAAGCTATCTTTAGCTAGCAGAAGGCTAGGGAGTGCTTACTGAGCCACCAGAAGTGGTTGTGGGGTGCCTGAGCTAGCAGAAGGCTATGGAGTGCCTGCTTATTGGTTGCCCCTAAGTTGTGGTTCAACCCAAGAACTGTTTGCTCAGCTCCAGCCACCTCCAATAAACTGAAACAAAGGCCTGGGCCCTGGCAGGGGCCATTAGAAACACGTCATGGCTCTGGTCTGGCTCACTGGTTTTTCTCGGATGCTAAGATCTTCAAGAGCTTCAGCTCAGGAATTAGGAGACCTGCATCCAACTTGTGACCAGAATCCAGGGCATGCTGTCCTCTCTCCTCTTTCCCAGATGAAAAAGACTCCCTCTGGGGAGTCTTCCAAGGCAGTGCGGCTCTCAGGTGTGGATTCGACACTTTGCACAGGCAGTGATTTTTTTTTTTTAACTGCAATGATCCTGCCTCTCCTTACCCCACCCCAGAACTGTCAGAGCATGTGGCAGGTAAGTCACCCATTCTACATGACACATCATGGCATACAAAGCATTTATATGCTGCTCCCTCATCAAGACAGCACTGAGTTGAAGACTGGACAAGAAATATTAGTATTCTCATTTTACAGACAAGAATGTTGAGGCCTCAGAATGGCAGTGGCAACATCACCACCACACATTCACATTGCTTTTCAGAGAAGTTTTAAATAGATCAACAGGGATCCAGAGTATCAAGTTGACAAAATGACCATCCCCAAAGGAGAAGTAGCCACCTCCTTGAAAGTTCTAGTGAAGCAGGTCAGCATGGGCCCCTCGGGACAGGAGCCCATGCTTGATCTCTGAACATGAGGGTCCAATCTCTGAGGAAAATGACCAGAGAAGTAGCCAAATGCTCCTGAGAAAAAGAACTACTAGGTATGCAGTGTTTGGACAGGTGACTCAGCATCCTAGGGGATGTTTGCCCAACACAGGTGTGGTCTCCAGAACAGGGACAGACAGAAGAGCAAACAGGCAGAGAAACCAAAAGCAGACTCAGCAGAAGGACCAGCTTCACCAGCAGCAAGGCTGGAGGGCAGAGCCTCCTTGGCTCCATCCCCATTGCCCTGAGATCCTCAGCCACAGTTCCCTTGGTAAGAACTGAATGTCTTACCAACAGAAACACTTCCCGTCCTGAATAGGTACCTTGCTTACCTCTGGTGATCATGGATAGGATGTGTCTATGAAAGGGTTCATGAAGTTGGTAACCTCATCTGTCCATTTCCAGTCCATCAGGGAAGCACCAGGGCTGAACTGACCAATAAAACTATGATAGTAGATTGAGACTTATGATAGTAGATTGAGATGACCCTGTGCTCCCCTATAGCCACTAGCCACACATGGCTACTGGGCAAGGAGCCAGCGATGCCAAGGGAACAAATGGAACCTTTTCATTTCGTTTCAACAGAGCTAAACTGTACATTTGACGTATAAGGATAGTAGCTACTATGCGTGGTCAGAGCAGCTCTAGAAACAAGTAAGAACAATAAAAATGGAGTATCTGTACCACAAAAACATCACCACTCTCACTGTCTCTTGCCATCTACCCTATGAAGTAAAGTCTTATTTCAGGTACAGCGTGGGGCAGGGGTGGAGGGAGGGGGGACAACTCAGGAAAGTTAAGCAGCAGCCATCTGGACAGACCTGGTATCACAGGAAAGATTTAACCACAGATCTCATGATTCCAGACCTCTGTGCAACACTGTTCCCTTACGTAAACACGTCACCTCATATCTACTGGATGGTTGTGATTGCTGGGTTAAACACCTAAAGACGAATCAAGACACACACCTAAGCTGTGTGGGAATCCTCAGAAAAAGTTAGTGCAATTGCCACAGTAAGAATATGGGGGTTTAAATTAATTTGATTTTCTTCCAGGTAGCTCAAAGCACTATGTTATAAATATTGATGTCTGATGAGTTTCCAGTTTATATTTCAGGCCACAGTTCCTACCCAGAATTCCCTATGGAAATATCAAGCAGCCTACCGGAGTCCAAATGTGGATATCAGATTGGCTTCCTGAGTTTGTCCCAAACCTTCTCCCTCTCAATAAATGACAAGGCCATTGGAAGCTTCTAGAATCATCCATCACTCCCCCCCCCATCCACTTTATTAATCCCTTTCATCTAATCCACCAACAAATATCCTTAGCTCTGTCTCCAGGAGGCCTGCAGAATACTAGCCATCCCCACTGCTGCCACCCCATCTAACCTCTTCATCTCTAGCCAGACCAGAGAAACTCCTGGGATCTGCTCTTCTTCCTCCTCTTCTCCCCTCCTCCTCTTCCTCATTTTTCCACACAGTAACCAGAGTCATCTTTTGTAAACTGAAAAATCAGGGCATGTCCCTCAGTGGTTTCTCAAACTCCTAGAAGACCTGCAAGGTCTAGCCCCTGACATCTCTCTAACTTCATTTCCTGTCAGTCTTTTTGCTAAAGCAGATATTTCTGACCACTCCTTCCAGAAACCAGTATTTTGATCACCCCCTCATTTCCTAAGGACTTCTGCCTAAAAATCTCTTTATCAAAAAAAAAAAAAGAGCAATCTTTCCCTTATTTGTTTCAGTTTCTCTCACAACACCCATCAACTTCTAATGGTAATAAGTGTGCCTAGTATTGCTTCATGCTAGAATACAGTCTGGAGTAGGTAGGCAGATAAAATAGAGGAAGAACCGTTGAACTTGAACTTCAGATAAACAAGTAAATCTTGTTATATATTCTTTTTTTTTTTTTTTTTTTTTTTTTCAAGACAGGGTTTCTCTACATTAACTCTGGCTGTCCTGGAACTCACTCTGTAGACCAGGCTGGGCTCAAACTCGGAGATCCACCTGCCTCCTCAGAGATCCACCTGCCTCTGCCTCCCAAGTTTTGGAATTAAAGGCCAGTGCAATTATTTTTCAGTATGTGGTTGCAATTGATATTGGAGACCTCTTATAATTTTTTTTTTAAGGTAGCTAAGCCAGGCATGGCAATGCACATCTTTAATCCCAGCACTCAAGAGGCGGAGGCAGGCGTACCTCTGCAAATTCAAGGCCGATCTTATCTACATAGACAGTTCTAGAACAGCACAGACAACATGGAAAGCCTCTGTCAAAAAAACAAAAACAAACAAAACAAAACAAAAAACACCCGCTGTTTATTCTAACTTTACTAGTGTTCTGTGTTTGATTTGCCAAACCTGGCAATTTTACACAGGAAGGTTATTGGTTATCCACAGAGCTATAACAGTCTTGGAATGTTGCCCTCAATAAACATTTATTGGACGGATGGATGGATGGATGGATGGATGGATGGATGGATGGATGGGTGAATTATTCAGCTGGGTCATTAAAACGACAAGCCTAAGCAGCCTAAAAATAAGGAGATAGGACCTCTGAAGAACTTTTCAGCTGGTGGAGCATGAGAGCCTCGGGTGCCAGTCTCCACCCCTGCCACTCTGCAGGTAAAATTCCACCTCGCTCCAGGGAGCTGCAGTCTCGGCCTTCGTGTCCCCACGCCCCCAGGAGGCGGGGCCTATTTAACCTGACACCAGATCCAACGCGGGCCAGAGCCGCGGCCCCTTTAACTCTCCACCTCCCCAGAACCGCTTTCGCACTTCTGAGTGACGTCACCAGGAGCGCCCAATGGGGGCGCGGCTTACTGGAAGGCTGTGCCCGGGGCCGCTGCCAAAGGGGAAGTGAGCTGGGGCTGGAGCGATGGCCCGGGTCTGGAGCCTGCGGCCGCCGCCGCCGCCACCGCCAGCGCGTCCTGAGCAGCCGCGGCCGGAGCTGGGGCCGGAGATGCGGCTGGAGTGGCCGCGGCGCGTGTGAGTTGCGGAAGTCGCCGGTGGCGGGACACCTCATACTCGGAGCACTTCAGGCTGGCCAGCGGTGGTCGTCCCTCATCACCCGCCCCCCCCCCTCCAGGCCCCGGCAGCAGGGCTTGAGTTTTCCCCAGGCTCCGGCTCCTCTCTCGCCGGTCTTTCTTACTCAGGACAGAAACTACAGAAAGGTGATCATCCCTAATCCCAGTCGGCTTCCTGGCCTGGGCGTTTTCTAGCCGCCCAGGCAGTGCCAGTGCCCTCTCCAGTCGCCACCTCTCCAGCCAAGGATTAGCGAGTACCCACTGCCTGCTTTATAAAGTCTCCTGCCCCCCCCCCATTCGAGGACAAGTTTACTTTTCCCTCTGCATTGGGAATCTTGTCCCAGAGATCCAAAGGTACCTTTGTTTTATGTATCTTTCCCCAGCTTCTGGAGCACTCCTAGAAATACTGCCTGCCTACAGGGCTAAGAATCTTGTCCTTGCCTTAGTGGGTTGTCTTGTTTTGTTTTATTTTCCTTTTGGCGGGTAATAGTTGTTCCAGGAATTTATTCATTTGGATTTCCTTGGCCATCTCTATGTAATTTCCTCACACCCAAGTCCAGCTTCCTCTGGGCTCCATTCTCCACCCCCCACCCCCAGTAGATCTGGTCAGTCCCACCTCTGGGTGGGAGTGATCAGGGGGCTCTGGCCCAGGATTCCCAACCCTGGAAGGCAGTTCCAAGGCAGCGAGAGAGTTGGGCGTCGGGTACGAACCTGGCAGCTCAGGAGTGGGCGCTCCACTCACCCCCCACAAGAAGATGAAAAAACGAAAAGAGCTTAATGCGTTGATCGGCCTGGCTGGTGACAGTAGGAGAAAGAAGCCCAAGAAAGGCCCGAGCAGCCACCGCCTGCTTCGCACTGAACCTCCTGACTCAGACTCAGATTCCAGCTCAGATGAAGAAGAGGAATTTGGAGCAATTGGAAATCGCTCTCGTTTTGTCAAGTGAGTGAAGTAGTGGCGGGAGCTGAAATGGGCGAAAGGCATCTTGCACTCAGCTGGGCAAATAATTGAGAAGGAGAGGGGAGTCCTTAGAAAAAAGGAAGTAGGCCTTGGAAAACAGAGAGAGGAAGGGTGTTGGAGAAAGCAAATCCTGAAGGAAGAGTAAGAGGTCACTTTGTAAGAGATCTATCATGTCTCAAAATCCAGGGTGGAAGTGTGAACTTGAGGAATGGGCCCACAGCCCAAGGAGGAGTGAAAAGGTTACTAGCGGAGACAGAGAAGAGAGGCGCAGGAGCCTAGGCATTTTTAAAAAGTAGGTCAAGGGACCTTAAGACCTGTAACTATTTTGTGTTTTCTCAATGAGCTTGATACTGGTGATGGGAGAGTAGAATGAGGGGGATACTGTAGAAAGTGTGAACCCTACAAATATGGAGGGTACCAGAGAGAGAGAGGGCGCCTTCTTCCTCCAAACCAACCACTAAACAAACAAGCTTTGAGGATTTGGGGGGAGTTAAGAGATTATTTTGTGAGCCAGCTAAAGGAAACTTCAGGGTTTAGACCTTGGTCCTGTCAGACACCAAACTAAAAGAAAAGGCAATTCTGTTGGGATGTGGAAACAGGTGTTAAACAGAGGACCTGGGTGCCAAAAGAGTTCTGATCTCTTCGTGTGTTCATAATCTCTATGTCTTTTTGTTAAGACTTTGGTCTCTTTACCTGACTTTGTCAGAGAGTAGTTAAGGACCATTCCGAGTTTGTTTTGTGAAGGTGATCTGATATCCTGCTAGGTTCGTTTAGGCCTGCAGGCTAGGTGAAGTTTGGTGTGAAATCTAGCATGTTTCTATTTCTGTCCTCCTAAGTCAGTAGGTTAAAAAATATCAGGTATCCACTTAAGCCAACAGGTCTTGTCTTCTTTATTCCATTTGCAGTAAAACTTGGTTAAAAGTTTATGAAGTTTCAGTAAATAAAACAAGGTCTTCTAGGGCAAGTGAGCATATATTTGAGAGAGAAAGAGATAGGTAAATTACCATGCCAGGGATAGAATTACATAGAACCACACATCTTGCCCTTCTTTCCATCTATTCTTTTTTTTCTTTCTTTCTTTCTTTCTTTCTTTCTTTCTTTCTTTCTTTCTTAGTACTATTAAGGATTGAGCTAGGTTCTTATGTATGGTAGAAAAGCACTCTCTCTTCCATGAAGCAAACACCCCCCCACCCCCGTTTTGTAAGGCAGATTTTACTAACTTGCTCGGGCTGACGTAGAACAGCCTCCCAGTACTCAGATTATAGGCATGTGCCACTATGCCTGTCTTGTCTTTTACACTTTTCAAACTGAGTTCAGCTCCAAAGACCTCCCTTCAGAATTGACGGCAGTGATCCAGAACCCACAAATGCTTCCCATGACCCATGGGAACTCCCTGTTTCCTGTGCGGTTGGTTTGAAACCTTTGTACCCAATAGAACTTTTCATAGGTCATACTGTTCAGTCATTTTCAACCTCCTGCTATTAGATGTAAATATATTTTCCTGTGTCCCCTGGTAAATCTACTTGTTATTCATTAGAGAAGATAATCACGTAGCAACACATACTGCTGCTAATAAAGCTGTTCTTAAAATTAATTTCTCACTCATGATTGAATGTATTCTTATGATAGAGGAGACTACTTACGATGCTGCAAGATCTGTTATCCCCTCTGTGCTTTTGTCATCCTCGCCGCCTGTGTTGTGGCCTGCGTTGGCTTAGTGTGGATGCAAGTGGCTCTCAAGGAGGATCTGGATGCCCTCAAGGAAAAATTTAGAACAAGTAAGTGGCCAAGTTTTAGAAAAAAAATTGGTCCATGCTGAATTAGGAATTTGCCCATTCTGATAAGCAATTACACATTTTGTTCTATGTACTTTCTCAACTGTCAACTTGACTGTAATAACTACTGGTTTTCAATGCATAAACACATTCAGTGCTCATGTGCCACCAGGAGTAGCATCTGAAATTATGATGTTGTAGTCAACTCAGTGCAAAGGGGAAGAACTGTAGACCAGGATGTACAACTGTCATTATAAGAGCTACCATTTGTGACTGTCCATTTGTGCCAAGTCACAAGTCTCTCTCTCTCTCTCTCTCTCTCGTGTGTGTGTGTTTGTGTTCCCACACATGCTAGTAAAGATGATTATTACTATTTGTATTCTAAAAAGGAAGAAGGAGGGTGGGCAGAAAACCTCCACAGGTATAGGTACCTGAGTTCAGTTGCAGAGATCATGTGTACTAGAAAGAGAACACTGACTCTTGCAGGATGTTCCCTGACTTCCATAGACACCCTGTGTCATGCACGTACCCACCCACCTATACACACTGAGTAAATAAATATGTAATAAAAAGTTAGAAACAAAAAAACAGCTGGGAATGACAATGCACATCTTTAATCCCAGCACTTGGGAGGCAGAGGCAGGGGGATCTCTGAGAGTTCAAGGCCAGCCTGGTCTACAAAGCAAAGTCCAGGACAGCCAGGACTACACAGAGAAACCCTGTGTGACCCAAAAATAAAAAACAAACAAAAAACCCAGGCCAGAACAATTAAGTAGCTTGTTTAGCAATTAAGTGTTTACCTGGTCCTTGTGCCCTTTTTGCTCAAATCCATACATATAGCCATTGCAGTACTACATTACTCTTCCAGTGCCTATGAAAGCTTCAGGAATATCTACAAGTGCCCACAAATTCCTTCTGTACAGCTTGAATCAGTAGTCTATGAAAAGTTTAGTAGATGCTGGCAGAGTTGATTGTGTGTGTGTGTGTGTGTGTGTGTGTGTGTGTGTGTGTGTGTGTTTATGGTATTCAAGCACAAGTCAAGAATTATTAGGTAGCCCATAGGCTTCTTTCCATAGGATGCTTGTTTGAATATCTGTTTCTAGGGGGAAAAACTTTAAATATCATGAATGTCGCCATTTTAAACTTTTAGGAAACTCTTGTGATCCTTTGAAATATATTATACATCCATGAAGAAGTATAGTAATCATAACAGTACTTACCTTAAACATAATACAGCTCATAGAGATATTTGTCTCATGAATGAGGTTTTTGTTTTAAGAGCCCATATGTTCTGATTCAAAGTTCAGTTTTATACATCCAAACTTTTTATTGAAAGGTGTGTTCATATATTGATTTTGGCCAGATTTAACTTAACAAATTTTCTCTTTCTTTTAACAACAGTTTAATTTTTGGTTCTAGATCTCAAGAATTGATTTTCTAAGCCAAGGAACCAGTTTCAGCTTAATCACAGACCTCAATACCAATAGCACACCAGAAACTGACCACAAGTTCCTCAAATACCTCTGACTCCAGAACCGGATTTTGAGCCTTACTTTGCCTCTTAAGCCTGGGAGATCCATACTAAGCCTAAAAAATCACAATGTCCTGCTTTCCTTCACTCAGCTTCTCTTATGTATAGCCATTCAAGTTAGGGACGGCTACTCCTCAGGGTGTTAAAAATGTTTTAATATTCACTCTGGTTTTCTTACTTCTGGTTCAGGGATGGGATTGGCTAAACCCACAATTCGTTTCCATAATTAATCATCCTGACCTATAAGGTTGAATCAAAGTACAGCACAAAAAAAGAATGTACATCCTGTAGGGTTTCTCACTGTGTAATTCTTATTTTTGCAATATTGCAAATATTTTAAGCCTATATTTTTTATATGTAAATAATAATCATAACTTAGAAACCATGTTGAACTGTGTGTGACCACTGAACACACCTTTATGTCAAATGAATTCTCCATAATTAGTAGAGCTTCCTAGGCTTGTGCCACACCTTGTTTTGGTTACATACAGTGATTGTATATTTATGTATTTCATACATTACTCAGTTCTCCCCTCTAAAGATTGCTTTCTGCAGCTCTTCTGTGTCTGTATTTACAGGATACCAAAGTCATTTATTCCTTAGCTGGTCTTGCCATGATCTCTTTACTTGGAAAATGTAAGACATGTAGTAGGCTTGACAGTCAGTCGATAAATATTTGTTAAGCATTTGTTAATGCCAGTCCCTAAAAACATTATATTCAGGAGATGCAACGCCATACACCTGGACTGTTGGGTGGGGTCAGCTTCATGTCACTGAGGGAGATTTTTCTGGAGCTCAAACTGCATTTGTCAGCCAGCTGAGTAAAGCAGGCTTGAAATTGTCAATCTAGTGGTCACTGAGATTGCTTGGTGGGTAAGGGTGCTTGCTTACCACCAAGCCTCTTGACCTGGAGCTCAGTCTCTGGAGCCCCTGGGGTGGAAGGAGAAAACCACTGTGGTGAGTTGTATTCTTCCCTCCATATGCATGCTATGACACAGGAACACAGAGAGAGGGAGAGGAGAGGAGAGGGAGGGAGAGGAGATGGGGGAGGGAGAGGAGGCGGGAGGGAGAGGAGGCGGGAAAGAAGGGAGAGGAGGATGGAGGGGGGAGAATAAAAATAAGCAAGACTTAAGGGAGGAATGACTGGGGTCTGGCATATTCATAAGCTGGGTATCTATGGACTGACTCTGTGTGTGTGTGTGTGTGTGTGTGTGTGTGTGTGTGTGTATGTGTGTGTGTGTGTGTGTGAGAGAGAGAGAGAGAGAGAGAGAGAGATTTTGTTTTGGTTTTTTGAGACAGGGTTTCTCTGTTTATCCCTAGCTGCCCTGGAACTTGCTATGTAAACCAGGCCAGCCTCCAACTCAGAGATCTACCTGCCTCTGCCTCTGCCTCCTGATTGCTAGGATTAAAGACATGTACCACCACTGCCAACTGCTCACTAGTCATTTTGTCTGTCTTTATGAAATAAGTTATTTAATGAAATGGAGTAATTTTACTATGATTAAATAATTATACTTTTAATTAAAATTATATGTCTATTTTAAACACATCTCAGTAAGTTAATTCTTTTTTCTTCTTAATCCAACAAAACAGTGGAGCCCACTGACTCCGATAAGACCACTTGCTTGCTTGACTTCAATGCCTTTTGAAACTCTCCCAGGAAGCCTGTGAAGAAAAGGGTTACTGAGAAAGCACCTGAAATAGGAAGCAAAGCAGATGGCTTGCTTTTTCTTTGCAGTCAAGAAGTAACTTGATCTTGAGTAAAAGACTGGCTAGCTTAGAACACTTTTTCCTTTAAACCATGTATTCTCATGTGTGGATGTTTTGTCTGCATGTGTCTGTGAACCACATATGTGCAGTGCCATGGAGGCCAGAATAGGGTGTCCAGTCCCCTGGAGCTGGAGTTATAGGCTGTTCTGAGTTTGTATTTAGATGCTAAGAACTGAACCCAGATGTTCTGGAAGAGCAGAACTATCTCCCAGCCCCTGGCCTTGAAACTTAATTTAGTATTCCTTTTTCCAGGAACAGTTATTTCAGAAGACTTCCACAGTTATTCAAAGCAAATATCTCCAATACTTCCTTTCTGTCAACAATAAAACATTAGAGAAAAGGAAAAGAATTTGGAAGAGAAGGAAAGTACTCATATGTCAGGCATCTCTTTTTCTTGTCATACAAGGAAAGTAGTGGCTTGAAAGTAGTACAGATAGATGCTTTTGTGTGAATACAGGTGCAAAGATGTATCCCTGACATCTTAAGCATACAAGAAAGAATATTGGGCCTGTGACCACATGGTTTGACTATTTGCTTCTCATTGCTCACTATAAAATTAGAACAATTACATATTCTTACGAGCCCATATTTTCTTAACCATGACACATGAAGATGTATTTTCTGCCACCAAATTTCTTTGGTCATTACTGTGTTACCACACTTGTCAACATTTATAATAATCCTCCCTTCACCTCTTGACTGAGAACTTTAGGGTCTTTTGTGTAAGATGTTGTCAAGTACAAGGCTGGCACATGGTAGAGGCTCAGTAACCATGTCATTTGATTATAATTACACAAAAATGCATGGCAAATTATAAGGGTACTATATGAATACAAAACATAACTACCTACATTGTGTATATTGTGTTTGAAGAATGTGTGTGGAAATTTCCATTTCCTAATCATAAAAAAGAAAAAATAAGACCTAGGTAAATTCTTTTGAGAATCCACATATTAAATTTTAAATGAGTTGCTTTCCATGGTGAAAGAACATGAATAAGTAATAAGTTGTTTGTTTGCCATACTTGCATTTATATAACAAAAGTGCCTCAACTTGGCTTGTCTCTCCTAAAAAGACCACATCAGATAATGGTTAGGACCCCCTCTTGGCTCATAGACTCCTTAGGATCCAGAGTGTCCTCAAGACTTGGCTTTAGGTGTTCATTAGTTAGTAGTTATGACTTTGTCTTACGTCTTCCACCTCTAAGTCTTATTTCTTGCATAGAGACTTCAGGAAAGAGAGACTCTCCCTCCTGAGGGCGTTTGACCACCTGACTATGGAAGGCATTCTCGGGATGGGCTTTTCTTTACAACCCAGCTGAAACTATATAAGCAATTCAGTGACATGGAGCTGCATTGTTTAGAATGAGTAATGAAATTTTCTTACTGCCTGAGATGGATGTATTCTGCAAACCATGTGTAAATCAAATACTACACTAAAAGCACTTAGGGAAGTCTATTATTTAGATGCAGTCCTTTGGCAGCCATTTCTAAAAAATAAATGAGAATACCTAATTTCATTACTCTGAGTTGTTCCAAAGTGGGCTTGCTTACAGAGATCTTACCTCTGCCCTCAGTTTCCATGGGGCTTTGTCACTGTTAAGTGTGCTTGCTGTCTGGGTGTTTTACTTTTTGTGTTTTCTTTGTTGGATTGAAAAAGAGGATAAAGTACTGAGAAATGTGGTGGGGGTCAGCAAAGACCAGGCTTATTTAGGTAACAAGTATTTACTGAGTGCTGAATATTATGTTCTCAGTGCAGACCATACAGAAATGGACAGAACCAAGTCATGGAGCTCTTGTTTTAGTAAATTATGGCCCTATATGCCAGATATAGATATAGATATATTAACTAATCAAGAAGTCTGTGACCTGAAGAAAAATGATATAGGTTTTATTCTGAAGGAACAGCCATTATCAATATTTTATTTTCCATTAAGAGGAAAAATGCTTTTTAAAGAAAGAAGAGAGCGTACTTTCGGCTTCTGCCTCAGGCTTTGAATCCCTTCACCACACAGGAATTGTTATTTCACAGAATCCTAATGTCCCCTTTGTGATTCACCTAACATGTTTATCTTCCTTTTCATCTTGAGCTTTTAGGTTGGTTTAAGAAAACACTGCCATTTATGAAATAAAATAGGAATCTTAGCCCTCATATCAGTATTTGAATACCACCTCCCAGTCAGCCAACTTAAAGTAGAAGAAAATAAACATCTAAAGATGTAGTTTGTAATGGCACCTTGAACATCCATGGAGTCATAAGTCTTAATTATATGAAAACTGGTCAGACTTAACATTTATTTATCACCTACTGTATTCCTAACCATTGTCTCCCTTCATCCTAACACTTTTGGGACATGAGTCTTACAACTTTTCCAGATTTAAAAAAAAAAAAAGAGCTCAAAAGAAGTTGAATAATTTATTCAAAATAATTGTAAGCTATAAAGGTGAAATCATCTAACCCTTTCTGCTCATGGTTTTGTTACAGTATTTAGTCACCTGTCTTCGTTGTCTTTGTTGTTTTGTGATACTGGGGATAGAACCCAGTGCCTTGCACTTGCCAAATATGACTTCTATCATTGAGCCACGTCACCTAACTTAAAGTTTAATATTAAAAGTGTTAAGGATACACATTTACATAAACAGAATAGTAGCCCTGCCCTCCCTTTCTGTTTTCAGTGTAGCTAGTTAACTGAACTAAGTCATTATCATCCCAGAACTTAAATTCACTAATCGCACAAATCTCTCTTCTTTCTTACCCTGTGATTCTCCTCCCTTTCTTTTTTCCTTCTTGGGACCAGAGAGAATGTGATGTATATTTACAATTGTTCTTATTTTGCTTTCAGTGGAATCTAATCAGAAAAGCTCATTCCAGGAAATCCCCAAACTTAATGAGGAACTTCTCAGCAAACAAAAACAACTTGAGAAGATTGAATCTGGAGAGCTGGGCTTGAGTAGAGTCTGGATCAACATCACAGAAATGAATAAGCAGGTAGTACAAGTGTGACTTTATTCCTGTGTAAGCTGTGGGAATGGATTTATATTGGTTCTTTGGCATTTAGTATAAGTTTGTAAATTCAAGCTTTTGTCTTTTTAAATTGGAGTTTAAGTGCTGTGACTAATCATGTTAAAATAGTAGTTATTCTCTTAAATTTGAAATGCCTTCAAGTATTTAAAAGGTTAACCCTTTCTGCACATGCACAGAGTCCACAGAGGTAGAGCATTAGAGAGGAAGCTGTAAACACTTGAGCCAGCTTCTTCTACAGAGTAATACAGGTATCAAATAAGGAGTGCCATCCAATTCCCAAGGAAAGGAGCTAGCCTACAGGTAGCAGATGAGTTTTATTTTGTTTAAGAGAGCTTACACTTAGAGATTTAGCACTGGAGTATAGTGTTGTAGATGGGAAGTCACACAGCTCACCATCAGCTAAAATAGCTCAGGAGCAGGCGGTAGAGTCAGGTAAATGTTTTGGTCGGACAAGCAAGTCTAGACAAACATGTTCAACCTCAGAGTTGTGCAGAGCTCAGTAGGCATTGCTTCCAAAAGAAGAAATCTACCAGAGAAGCGGTGTTTATTCTAAGAATGTTGCCCAAGTTTTGCCCACATGTTAAGAGGCATAGTTGCCACTGGGATCTATAGCCCCATCCTCAGATCTAGGTTTTGGGTTAACCTGTTTGTTGCTGTTTTAGTTTGGCTTTTTGCTGTTGTTTTCAGTTTAGTTGGGAAAAGATATAGTCATTGAGAAGAAAAACTCAAGTACCAAATAAATAATACACATGCAAAATACTTAAAATTAGGTTTGTCATTTTTGTTGGGATGAAGAGAACACTCTTTTCAGGGTGGAGTCCACAGAGTCCTAGAATGAGCCAGTAGGAAGCCCTGTTAGAAGAAAGGACTTGTAGATATTTATAAAGTTACACCTTTCAGCCACATTTTGGAAGAAGCATAGTTCAGCACTTAAGACTGAAACTCAATGGTCTAGAAAGTTACTTCTGCCTGGAACCCACAGTAAAATTGTCTACATTGCCCAGTAGACAAGCATGACAATATGCTGTGGTTTGAACATGTCCCAGTACAGTCTCCAGGTCTATGTGTCAAGGGTATACGGAACTGGAGCCTTTGGTGAGTAGTTAGCATTCACCCCAAAATGGCACTAGAAGAGAAAGAGAAGGCGTGTTGGCATACTTGTTCACTCTTATCACATGCATGTGTTGTGATGAAGCAAAAATATCTTCATCTCATGTAGTCATGTGTTCTTAAATGAGCTAAAATAAGCCCATTTGTAAGTCACCCACCCTATGGTATTTAGCGGTGGCCATAGGAAGTAGACTAAGATACCATAAGTAGCTAAAATGAAATTTTCTGAAAGCAGTGGCTCACCTGGAAAATGTTCAGTGCCTTATTCATTCCCTATTCATTCCTATTTAGGGATTTTGTTTTACTTTGGTTTTGGTTTTGGTCTTGAGATAGAGTTTCATTATGTAACCCGTGCTGGCCTGAGTGCTAAGATTGTGTGAGCCACCGCTCCTGGTCTATTTTATTTTTAATCGCACAGGGGGATAGCAACTAGGATTTACTACTTATCACTTATTCTTAGGCTCTCAGGAATTCAAGAAAAGCAGATATTCATTCCTCTCGTACACAAAGACTAGAATCAACTATGGCCCTGCAGTCACACAGCAAATGAGCAGTGTGGACAGAGATGACATCAGATGCAGGTAGCACTGAATCTCCAAGAGTCTGTGGATTCCATTTTGCAGAACAGAGTCAGCCATTCATAGACAAAGATAACATTGCTTTGCATGGAAAGGCAGACAAACAGCAACTCTCTTTTTCCCATGTCCTCCTCGTACATTGGCATTCTAGGACTGCTCAAGGAGAGAGCTGGCACTTAGTGTGGTGTAAGAAGTCCCAGGGCTTTGTGTGTGCACCTGGAGAAGGTTAGACTGAAACTCTTCGAGGATGAGTAGCACCATGCTTTGTGAGATGCCAGACCGCTTTATAAAGTCAAGCTAATACAGAGGAGTTCTCTGCTAGCATAGGCCCAGAGGATAGAACGGGGACAGGTAGATCTGAATGTTGTTTCCTAAAGGGGTTTAGCAGTCTGGGTGGTTCTCTAAAGTTAATGGTACTCTATTTGTCTGAGGTAAAATAGGAATAAAAGTAAAATTAATATTTAATCATGGTTTCTATAGCTAATGGTAATTATCAACTCAGGTGCTTCTAATGGCATTTTTAAACAATTGAAAGTGACTTAAACAACATGAAAATATATTCTGTCATTTAGCAAGAATTTACTACCAAGTAAGCTGAAGTTAATTTGGGCTGGGAAAAGAAGGCCGTCTGGCTGGGAAAGTTAAATTCCAACTTTGCCTTGAAAATCTTCAAGCTAGTATGTGAAACATCATTTATACTGTTTTATTCATGAAACCTCTGATGTTATGCCCACTCCCTCTTGACGATTACAAGGGCCTCACTTTCTGTAGAGAACAAATGTTTACAGAGCTGCTTTTATGGAGTTAAGCCTTTGCCTCTGTCTTAGTCTATTCAGACTGCTCTAACTAAATGCTTTGGACTAGGTAACTTAGAAACAATAGGAATTGATTACAGTTCTGGAGGCCCAAGAATCCAGGATCAGGGCACCAACGGGTTTGATCTCTGGTGAAGGCCCATTGTCTGCTTCATGCATGGTGCCTTCTTGTTATATCTTCATTAACATAAGGGGCAAAGTAGCGTCATTGAGCCGTTCGTGAGGGTAGAGCCTGTTGTGCCTGAAGGGCCCCACTTCTTACTGCTACCACTTTGAAGATTTTGAACATGAGATCTTTAGGGAAGCACCAACATTCAGACTATAGTAGATTTAGAACCAAAATAGATGCAATTCCTTGCCCCAGTGCACATGAAGCATATGGTTCAAATGCTGAGTGCATTTTTAAATGAATATTCAGCCCAGACTGGGATCAGCTTTTCCAGAAACATTGGGCTAAGTCCTGAAGGGGAAATGGACCAGGTGGAGAAAGAGAGGAGTTTACACCCTGTAGGGCACTATAGCTGGTTATGCTTAGTAGGACAGTATAGCTGACCCTCATAATTTTATCTACTTGCTAAAATCTATTTGTAACTTCAAAATCTGTAAGTATGAGGCTTTTTCGGTCATCCACTAATGTATACACAGCGATAATAACCCTGAGTTACCCACAGATACCAATAGCTAGAGTAGAGCAAAATAGAACCCTGCTTTCTATTCTGTTCTCATACGTAAACAGGTGGGACTCTGGTATATTTCACTTCACCTTTCACATTGTTGTGCCCATTGTTGGTGATTTCACTGTTAGGTAGGCTTCCTTCAGGCACCACTTTCAGTGCTGGTGGCTGTGTGTTCTGTGCTAATATGTCAGCAGTATCGTTAAATAAGATGTTTAAACAGGAACACATATAAAACAAGATTATATATTATATTGATAAGTTCCTGATAATGTGACCAAGGAGCTCGCAGGCACCCAGCCCCTACACCTAGGAACAGTGGTTTAGCATTCACTAATTCAAAATTTGCTGCAGCTTTTCAGAAGATAACTACCTAATAACAAAAATGGGCAGCATTTGTAAAAGAATAGATAAATGAAAAGACTTTGTACTGAGGAAATTTTAGTCCTTCCTTATAGCTCTAGTTGGGCACAGAAAGAAGCCAGAGATAAAGTAAGTCAACAAGCATTGTTGTCAAGGACCTTAGGTGCCCTTCTTAGTTCCCTGCTGCTCTCTTGTAAGCACTTGTACGATGGTCGTTTGTAAATGCCCCTAATTGCATTAGGAGATTGTACACTGTTTTCAGCCCTCAGGCATGGTAATGAAAATCTAGGTGGTAATGGTGATAATTGTTATACATTAAATGTTTTCTTTGTGCAGGCCACTCTATTGGCTGTACTGCATGTATAATCTCCTTTTTCTATGTCCTGAATCACATGAAATAAGAAGTGATACCCCCAGTTTGCAGATAAGAAATTTGAATCTTCCTGGGCAGTGGTGGCGCATCCCAGCAATCAGGAGTCAGAGGCAGGTGGATCTCTGAGTTCAAGGCCAACCTGGTCTACCAAGTGAGTTCCAGGGCAGCTAGAGCTACACAGAAACCTCTGTCTGGGGAGTGGGTGGGAATAGAAAGAAAATTGAGACTCAAGAGGTAAAAGAGCCTACCCGAGGTCACAGCTGTATAGCAGTCTAACATTGAAATCCTTAAGTCTTGAGAACCTGTTTTTCTTCCATTTTTATAGGATTAAGTAGGACCAGGTGCACATCTTTAATTCCAATACTTTGGAGACAGAGGCAAGAGTTTAAGGCCATCCTAGTCTACATAGTAAGTTCCAGTACAGTCAGGAGTATGTAGGAAGTCCCTACTTGTAATCATCATTTGTGATTATCTGTTTTCTGAACTTTTTCCTCACTATTTAAAGAATAGAAAGTTCAACCCCAAAGAAAAAATAGCATTCCTACTTTTGAAGTATAACATTTATATTAAGTAAATAATCTAAAGTGGCTTTTTTACTTTTGCTGATTTTTTTCAAAAATCATATAATATGCATAGAAGTCATAACATCTTTTGGCTAAAATGTGGTTTTTTTTTTCTTTAGTGGTGTTTATTTAACTCAACTTTTAGTGTTTTCAGATTGTGAAATGTCATGTTTTAATAAATTCTGTAATGCAGAAACCCTGTCTCAAAAAACCAATAATAATAATAATAATAATAAAAGTTCTGTAATACTTGGATCCAGTCTCACATTCTAGAATGTCTGTTTGAAGTCAGAGATAATGGGAGAGTACACCCTTGTCTCTCCAGTCCCATTGCACATGTACATTTACTGTAGTTTCTCACACAGTTTGGCTCTGCTGAAGAGGGGAGGTCCAGGGTGTGTAACTGAGCTGGTGACCAGTTTGTGATCCAGGTCCTTTAGATAAGAAACACTATTTGTGTGACTGGTAACTGCAGAGTTGGCAGTCAGCTCTCCAGAACACACTCTCAGGGATGCAGCTGACATTCTAGAATCCCGACCTACAGTGTTTGTGACACAGAGAGAAGACGACCTAACCTGGTCCTCCTGTGTTGGCTTTTATTACTTCCCTAGTTTTAAGTTAAATGTCAGCTTCCAGCAGCCATGCTAGCCTTCTCTGAGACCATAATGTTCCTAAGATACTTCTGACTAGCTCAGCCATAGCCTCAAGATGTTGGATAGCCTTCTCTGAGACCATAATGTTCCTAAGATACTTCTGACTAGCTCTGCCATAGCCTCGAGATGTTGGACAGAATAGTTTCTGCCCAGATCACACAGAACACAGTATGTGATTATCCCTTTAGGGTCTAGCCAGTTGTCAGTGAAAGAAATTTATTCACATATGTCTGAAAGATACTACATAATAAGCATGTAGAATAATTGTAATACATACGGAGAGGAGTCCCTTCTCTTCATATTTGTACATGGTTGTCTCATGTCAGTAATACCATCTGCACCTCCTATGTATTTGTAAACTATCATATATGTACAAGTTTGTGGTTTATACCAAGTACATGTAAGTAAATGGAGTATGTGGTGTACTATAGTGTTCTTTGTTTACTGAATATATCTACACATCTAGTGATAGGCATTTAAATCATTCCAGTGTTTTACTGGTACAAATAAGAATGACTTGTATTTCTTTGTGCCTGTGAGCAAATAATCTTCAGGATGGGTTTCTATAAATGAAGTTGCTAAACAAAGAATATAAATATTTCAGGTTTTGAGGGTTATTCCTTCAAAACAATCCTTTTCCAGTTCACATTCCCCTAACAATGCACGAGAATGCCTGTTTCCGTAGGTTCTTTGAACCCTCAGTGTTATCCATAGCTTCTTAAAGGAATGGCACAAAATCAAAACCTTCTTGGTGTAATTGCCTCTCTGAGAGGTTTATAGCTTTCTAAAAGTATTTCTCAGTGTGGACTGAGGTGTCTGATCTTCCTGTTTTGAAATGGGTAGAGTTAGAACATTAGTGAATGGCCTGCATGTTTGAGAACACTTAGGTAGTATGGCATGTGTAACTCATTCAATTTCACTTGTAAAGAACTGCCACTGGTTTGATCATTTGTGCTAGATACTGTGGTGAGCTTTAGTCACTTGTGTCATTTAATTCTTGGAACCTATATTAATCACCTGTTATTGGGTTACATTTAATCTCCAAATTTAGTGGCTCAACACAACAATCCTTCATTATCTCACACTCCCTGTATGCCAGGAATTGTGAAGCAACTTAGCAGAATGTTCTGGCTGAATCCCTAGGGTTGAAACTAAGGTGTCAGCACAAAAAAAAAAAAAAAAAAAAAAAAAAGCCAAATACTTGTTGAAAGAATGAAAAGGAATCTGGTCGTGCTTTGTCTTACACCCTCTGGTACCTGCCACAGTGCCCAGAAAGTTGGGTGTTTGTGAGGCTACTCTTGTTACAATTATTGGTAGACCTCTATTCTCATCCTAAAATTTAGAATAGGAAAGAGGTGTGGCACCAAGACTCTTTGAAAAGTGTTTTGAGTCACACTGCAGGACTTTTTAGAATGTTAACTCAGGGCCTGAAATTGCATGTTACACAAGTTCCCCCAGTCCCCATTCAGATAGGAGTCCAGCTACTTAGATCCTACCCCTAAGTAGTAAAAAGGAAACCACATTTTATTTTGATTCAATTCCTGTTTTAATACATTCATTGCATCCTTCAGTGAGTCAGTGGGTATTTATTGAGATCCTTCAGGGTACAAAGTAATGCTTTGGTTGAGCTATTGAGTTTGAAATATTAATCACATTATTAAACCAAAACCAAGTCCCTGAGTAATTGAAAGTGCTGTTCAAGTTGTCAGGATACAGTTCCTGTGGACTATATTTTGTGATGATGGGCTTTTCCTTTATAATATATGTTCCCACTCGGACAGGAACAAAAGTTCAGTTAAATAGGTGTTCTATTTTACCAAAGTGAAGTTTTGAAGTGGTCCTTGATCATCATTTTTTTTTTTTTTTCCTGTTCAACTATTGAAGGATTGTGTGGTAATCACTGCATCTTTTGAGTAATTTAAGAGTTTTGGGCCTTGCAGCTGCTAGACTAAGGTAAAGAATGATGCTCTGCCTCCTTGGCATCAATTTAAATTGGGCACTGACAGAGGGGGATTATTGCTGCTTCCTGATTCTCAGCTCTTTCCAAAACACTACAGTTCCTCTACTTCTGAAAGCTGACAGGTACCTTGACATTGTGAGCTGTAGAGTTTGTGAAGGAAGCACATTACTCTACAAATTCTGTTTTTCGTGTTTCTCAATCTTTTTCAGATTTCTCTGTTGAGTTCTGCAGTAAATCACCTGAAAGCCAATGTCAAGTCGGCTGCAGACTTACTTGGCCTGCCTAGCACTGTAGAGGGACTTCAGAAGGTAAGTGCCATGTTTGAGCACTATGGTTACCCTTAATGCTGGAATTCTTAAAAGTTCACTTTGAAAGCCTAGCATCTGAAATCAGCTGCTTCAGAAGAGCAGTGTAAAGTGTGCCGTTGTGTTCTGTGCAGTTCAAAACAACTTTGATATTGGGCCTTTCATTTTCAGCAGGTTACTTTATGGTTTCTACAGTTTTTCATTTGTCTGTCTGTGCTCAAGAGTTGCTCTGCTGGGACAACTGTGTTAGCAGGTAGCAGTTTACTTTTCAGTTTGTCATTATACTGTCTTCATGAGCCCAGACCAGTTGTGGATGGGAGTACACCTAACTTCTACTTTTCCATTATTGGAAAGGAGTTGAGTTGTTTGTCTTATTTTGCTGTTTAAAGATAATCTAAGATGAAATGCAGAAATTAAAAGTTAAGGAGCAGTTGTGTGACAAAGGATACTTTTAAACACTCTCAGGTAGAAATTGAAAAAAAATTACTTTGGAAACAATTTGATATTATTTCCTAAAGATGTCTATATAAGTTCTAAATAATTTCTTGTGAGTACACAATAGACCTCAGGGCCTGTGCAAACAGCAGTTCGTAATTTGTTTATTTGACCCTCTAGTATGTAGAGTTAACAGCAGACAAGTAGAAGCCAGAAGGACGAGACTCATGAATGCCTAGAGCTGGGTGGGGACATTGAAGAGAGGTTGAAAGGGAAAACAAGGTGTCTGATTGAACACACAGAGCATCGCCCCCACAACAAAAAATGAAAGAAAGGTTTTAGGAATAAGAGCTCCTTGCACAGTGAATTGTAAATCTAGGATCCTTGGCTTTTAAAAGTTAGCCAGTGATGTTTGATTCAAGTATATGCCAGGCTCTGTCAATAAATGTCTAAACTGTTACACAAAGTGAGAAATTACTAAAACACAAGCAAAAATAAAACTTGATATTTTACAACCAAGCATTGTGAGTAAATTGCTACTTGTCCAGTATGGTCATCTGCTCTTGACATTTAAATTTAAAAAGTTGAGGCAATTTTAATGAAGCAGATCCTTGCTGTCATTCCCAAGAATCAAGTTGGAAAAGGCAGGCCTCTGAAGCCTTGCAGAAGCAACATTTGCAGTCTTATATTTAAAAAGGAAACTGGCGTGTTCTTGCTCTCGCCATTCAGTGAACACTTGTGGAGCTTCCTCCAGTGTGTACCAGGCACTCTGCAGTTGGTAGGAATACTAGTTTCAGAGTTTCATTCTAGGATTTACATGATCTGTCAGCTGCTTTCCTAAAAAACAACTGCCAAACAAGAGCTCACTATCTTCCTGACGGGCTCAGCCAGCCAGCCAGTGAGGACTCTCTAACAGTAGGTGTCTTTGAGTATCTGGTGGCTTTGTGCAACAACAGTGCTTACATAGCATAGTAGCTTAAGAGACTATCCCAAATGTTATCTCTTTGGAAATCCTGCTAGGCACTGCTTATATTGCAAATGATAATGTAGTTTTGAAATAGTAGTTCCTCTCCAAAACCTAACTAGCTTTCAATTATGTCATGAAAATGTTATCGTCTCCTGTTCTCTTGAATTATTGTTTCAGTGTAATTTTAAAACATTGTCGAATGCTGGGAGGCAGCTCTGTTGGTGGAGTGCTGGCTAGCATGCACAAAGCCCTAAATTCCCAGCGCTACATAAAACCAGTTGTGGTAATGCAGGCCTGTAATCCCAGCATGTGGAAGGTGGAGGCTGGAAGATCAGAAATTCAGAGTCATCCTTGGCTTGTAGCAAGCCTGGGCTACATGAGACCACCTCAAAACAATAAAATAACTTTGGTTAAAAATACTGTTGTCACACGCTAATTTTTAGTCAGTATGTCTTAATAAAAGGATAAAACCCTACCAAATAATAATATTCTTTTAGGTATTTTTTTTTTAAAGTAATGAAGGTGAAGACATGGACCATTGGTTAAGAGCACATACTGCTCTTGCCAAGGTCCAGGGTTTGGTTCCTATAACTCTAGCTTCAGGGGATGCAAATGACACCTTTTGGTCTCCACAGGCACTTCCATTCACATGAACATACCCACACATATACTCATACAAATATGCCTAGTTTCTTAGTTTTTTAAAGATGACTTCTGAATCATTCCCTCTGTATGTTTGGGTTCTTTAGGACTACTAAGAGCAAAGTAAGTAGTTGCCTAACTATACTCATTGCCGACAAAAGTCTACTGCCAGCTGGGTTTCCTAGAGCTAAAAATCATACCCATCCAGTTTTGCTCAAAAGTCATCACTTAATACTCCTAACTGTTGATACTCAACAGCATTGACTCTAGCCGTCTACAGCACACTTAGTTTAGGGGTAGGCATATTATCTGTGAGTCCCAGATTCATTCTTTTTATTTTCAGAATATAACTCTCATAAATAATTTTTTTTTTTTTGGAAAATAGATTTTATTTAGGAAAGGTTATGGTTTTCCTTAATTGAAAAAATACCTTGATTTTTTTTATATGTATGGAAAACTATTCATAGAATGAATGTTTATATTTTTGCTATAAGTTACATGGAATTCATAGCTTGAATATAGTTGAAATAATTATAGAATATTGACCTATACTTAGTGAGTGCTTTAGTCTAAATTAAATCACAGCATATCACAACACTACCATTAGCATGGGCATTTTTTTTTTTTAAATTAACAGCACCTGCATTTGTGGATTATGGAGGAGTAGGAGCCCTCTTAAATACCATTAATGGCACTGTAAAATGGCACAACCATTTTAGAAGATAGCTTGCAAGTTTTTTTAAGAAGTTAAGCATAGATCTGCCATATGGTCAGCTGTTCATGTACGTATTGTGATAATGAGAAAGTATGAAGGGATATGAGGGCACAAGTCCACATGTGGGCTTCCACATGAATATTTAGAGCAGCTTTATTTGTAATAGTCAGATGCTGAAAATAACCTGAATGTCCATTAACTGGTGAATAAACAAGTTGATAAAACCATACAATGGCATGTAACATGCTAAGCAGGTTAGATATAACTGAATCCCAGTTGCACTTAGTAAAAGAAGACATATTAAAAAAAGATTTTAGAAAGTATGTACTCATTAGTTCCCTTTATGTTAACTTCTAGAAAATACAAACTGATACCAAGTGACAGAAAGTGAATAAATGGTTGTCTTGGGAAGTTATAGAGAGGCATGAAGAAATTGGGGTAGGAGTAATGCTGTTGCTTTTTTTATGGAAATGGTTTCACAGATTTATTATTTATTCATTTTGAATATGTGTGTGTATTGAATATCAGTTATAATTAGTAAAGCTCTTAAAAGGGGAAACTGATGTTCCTACATTGTTTCTTTTCAGAGTGTAGCTTCCATTGGCAATACTTTAAACAGTGTCCATCTTGCTGTGGAGGCAATACAGAAAACTATGGATGAACACAAGAAAACCTTGGAATTACTGCAAAGCAATATGGTAAGATCTGTAAACACTACAGAAAGGCAGTATGCACCTGGTCACCATTTCCTGTATCAGTCATGATTCCAGAAAAAGTCTGACAAGCAATAGCAATGTAAGTCAAACCATTGAGGTAGATAGTATTGAAGGCTTTTATAAACATGGTATTGGGGGCTGGAGAGATGGCCCAGGGGTTAAGAGCACTGGCACTGGCTACTCTGCCAGAAGTCCTGAGTTCAATTCCCAGCAACCACATGATGACTCACAACCATCTGTAATGAGATCTGGCGCCCTCTTCTGGAGTGCTGGGATACATGCAGACAGAACACTGTATATATAATAAATAAGTCTTTAAAAGCAAACAAACAACAACAACAAAAAAAAAACATGGTCTTAGAGATGCTCATAACACATTTACCGAAGATGGAACAGGTAGGATAGGAAAAGAAGATCAGCAGGTATCAGAAAAAGGGACAGGGAAGTAGCAAATTGTCTCATTTTTTGCTGCAATGCAAACCACTCCAAGTTATTGTTTCTCACTCTTCTGAGCATCAGGGATTTGAGCAGGGTTTTTATACCTGGTTGCTGAGAGACCAGCAGAAGAGATGATCTAGAAGAAGAAAAGTCATCTAGATGTTCCAGCTCCCACCAGGTGTCAGTGGAATGTAGCCATATGTATCATCTCACACTAGACCATGTGGAATTGATCCTCCATCACCCCCTCAATTGAACTCAGTAAACCCACAGAATAGTGATAAATAAAACATTTTTGTTGTTTCAACCCCAAAATTTGAGGATGATTTGTAGTGTAACAACAAATAGCTGAGATGGAAGCAAAGCCTTGCAATTTTTAGACATCTTAGTCTCCTACTGAAGCTGCATATACAAGCTCTCCACAGTCATCCTGGCAATAACTGCTTTGTAACAGCTCCCTGGAGGATTTATGAAGGTAGAGAAAAGGACGGCACAACCCTTGCTATTCTGATGGAGAAACAAGTTGACTTCAGTTTGTACCAAGGAACCTGAGTTGCATCAGAGAGTTCCAGAAAGGAGGGTGTTTCATTTGAACTAGTACTTGCTGTTATTTAGTGAGCCATTGTTTGATGTTTAGTGGGGCTAACCTAAAAGGAAAAGTTTCAACATAGGTGTCCAGATACCTCGCTTCTAATTCCATCTTCCATTGAGGACCTCTGTACCCTATAGTAATAAAGATATAACTTACCAATTTCTTTATATTGTGCATGCTCTCAAGTAATGAGCCATCTTCTAAAATACTTTTCCTAACTGAATATCTTCTGCTTCCTAAAACCACAAGTGTTATATCTTTTTCTTTTTAATTTTACCTTCAATTTGTATGAAAATAAGGTTGATAAATGTCTAGGATTTCAGATTTTAAGGAGAACTGTTTTGCCAGTTGCACTCTTATAATCGAATTGGCATCTTTTAACCTTCCATGACTACCGATAGTAATCTTCCTACTAGCACACTGTACTAAACCTTAGCTGTGGGCTTCAAAGGAATCAGCTATATAGTTTTTCCCAGGAAAGGATGAAAATGTGTCTAAGCGTATTATATTTAAGTGTTGCACAGAGAGACCAGAGCAGTGGGGAAGAAAGGGAAGAGTCAACTTCTGATGTAGATATCAGCATATATTAAGGGGAGGCCAATCATGTGCATGCTCACTGGCTGTGCCCTTGATTATGCAGTTTCCCTGCAGCTCAGGTAATGAGGGAGGGGAGAGAGGAATTTCTAAAGAATTCATTCCATTGAGAAAAAGACGCATACTAGGAAGAGCTCAGATTCCTGGGGTAACCTGGGTGCTGCTATCCAGCCTCTGCTTCGCTCTGGGTACCTTTAAAATTCCATGATAGCCTTGACACCATTCAGATGGTTCATAAGTTTTGGGAGACTCCTGTAGATTAATCCATGGCTACCTCCTGTTGAGGCAAGAGTGTTCCAGGACCATCTGAGATGGTTAAGTAACCTAGTAGTTAGTTGTTGCTTATGTACTAACTTTCATTTGTGTTAACATTTCTTAAAGGAGACCAATAGAAGCAACAAAATCATGACATCAATGACGTCAGAGCTTGATAATAAAACCAACAGTGAAAGTTCAAAGCAGGTACTTTTTGGTTGGGACTATGATGGGCTATAGAAGTAGTCTGAGGAATGTGAACTTAATATACATGGGAAGCCTTACTCTCTCTGAGGAGAGAATAGGGGTGGGGGGGAGGAGGAGAGGGAGTGGGAACTGGGGTTGGTATGTAAAATGAGAAAAGACTGTTTTTAAAATTAAAAAAAAAAAAGCAGCGTTCCCCAGTAGGTACCTCATACATCACCCTCCTGTCTGAGTAGAAAGGGTGTATATTGGCATTTGGGAACCCTGTCTCTTCTGTGGTACTTTGCTTTCTTCCTCATACGTCAACCAGTGAAGTAAATTCCTTTTCACGTTTTGAAAGACATAGAATGATCAGATTACCCTGAAACTCTATGGCAAATAGCAATCTGGGCAAATGAAAGATGGATGCAAAATCCAAAGTGATGGCTGTTTTGAGCCACAGAAACCTCTAAGAATGCTGAGAAACGTATCCTTGAAATTTGGTGTTTTCTGAAGTCTAAAGACAAAGGGCAGGAGGGGAGGAGAGGAGGAGTGCTAGGTTCAGATCACATTAAAGAGAATAAAGGAAATCTTCTCTAAGAAGAATTTCTGTCCTGAATTTAATGCCCTTAAAAACCTGTAGTCATTATTCCTTTTTAAGTAGCAATCAGTACTAGAAGATGTCAATAAAAATAATTGAATCTTGTACTAAATAATGCACTACTTGCTGTGCTTTTGTTACACGAGCCAATTCAGTAATTGGTATTGTTCCTAAGGTAGTTTTGTTCTGACCAATTAAGTTAATGGGACTTCAGTTAATAACCGAATGTGCTCTCCTGTCAACAAGTGAGGTAAACAATGGGAAATTAATTCCCAAACTGACCGCTTTGAGGGCTCAGAGTGGGAGCTTGCAGACAGTTCTCTTCTTTACCCTCCTGTCTAGATGAAGCCAAACAATCCAAGAGAAGGCAAATTGGGACCAGTTTAGAGAGGGAACAGCAAAGCAGATCTAGGCAGTTGGGGATCACCTCCAGGAAAAGTACCTTACCTTGTTGACACAATAATGGTTGCTGCATTGCTCCTATCCTACTTGTCTAGTTGCAGTATTTAGGTGGATGCTACAACTCATTTGTTTCCACTCTAGGATATCCTGTACCTTCACAACTCCCTAGAGGAGGTCAACAGTACTATAGTGGGATACCAGAGACAGAGTGATCTTAAATTTGAGGGGATGAATGAGACACTCAGTAACCTGACACAGAGACTCGGCCTGATAGAAAGTGATGTAGCTGCACTGAGCAAGGCAGAAAACAGAGCAAACCTGACCTCCAGCATGGTAAGTCTTTTCAGATCTGCTGTGGCATGCTGTGTGTTGATGTGTGTTGTCTGTACATAGATGTAATTCCCCCTCCTCATGTGAACAGTAGCTGTGCTTACCTTACTCCTGCTTAAATCCATATAACAGCTCTGTGAAATGCACAAGGTATGTGTGTTTGAAAGGGTTGCCTTAAACATGCCAGCTCACTACAACTTGTTGGCAGGAATGACAAGTCTCTTACAATGTTGCCAGTGGTCTATCATTTAGGGAAACTTGGACATGTTTTTTCCAAAGGAGGTCTTTTGGTCTTTGGTCTCCTCCCCCCCACCCCACTTAAAGTATTAGAAGTGGTAAAAGTAGAAGATATAACAATCTTGTACCATTTTTTTAACCCTGAACTTGGCTTTCAGATTCATCCTGCTCCTGTCTGTGTATTAGAGGAAACCTTTTGCATATAATGTTAGGAAAACCATCTAAAACAGATGAGGTTACTTCTATAAACAAATCCTAATGAAACCAATAGGGTCACACAGAATATAATAGGAGAAGGGAGGTTCTATATCGATAGGAAGGAGGAGATTAGCAAGAAGTGAGAGAAACACAGAAGGAGTAATGGGGTGATTATGATAAATATGTATATGGATAAAAATATAATAAAACCCATCATGATATATAACTAATATTTTCTAATAAAAACATTTTTAAAAAGATGGAGTTGGGCCAGGGGGTGGTGGTGGCACATGCTTACTGACTCTGAGGGTCACTGGTTTTCATGATCTCATGAACAGAGTCTCTTTGTTTTTAACCACATTTCATCTGTGCATCTTGCTGGGATTCATGTGGATCATTTCGTTAACAGTGACAGGTCTCACTTTTAAAGGCTCAATAGAGCAAAGACATGGTACATTTTTTGATGGAAACCAAATTGAGGAAACTACACTGTAAATTCAAATAAAAGCTAGAAGCTAACCCACACATAAAATCGAGGCCTGGCACATGGTAAGGAATGCTTGAGCTGCCTAAATATGGCTTTGAAAGGTAGGGTAGAAAGACCTGTCCCCCTCTGCCTGGCCCTCCTGCTTTACAAGAGTGTGTAATTTACTACAAAGCTGTGAAGATTAAAGGAGCCCTAGTTTTTAAAGCCCTTTTGAACTCAGCTAAGCTAAGTAGGAGCTGAGAACGTTGAATGATTTGATGAATAATGTGCCTTGAAGGGTTTTCAAGGCTTATTGTGAAAACTTAGCACCCCAAACCCCTTGCTGTCTCTGCCGTCCCCTTCTTATTTTATCCAGCAAAGATAATTGGTAATAGTATCCATCTGTCCTATTTCTTCCAGTAGCATTAGACTGAGCCTGGATCTGGGTAGAAGTTCTGTCGCCTTTCATACTTCAGTTTTAAAGTGTGTGACTAAAACATTTAGAAGCCTCTATTTACACTCTGTCTCCTTGTGCCCATCTCCACTCTCTGTCCCTCCCACTCCTTTGCCATTTGTGTTTAGTGTTCAGATCCTTTCAATAAATTTGACCAATTTGTTTAAGAAGTATTAAGTGTCAGGGTTGGAGATGGCTCAGTTGGTGAAGTGCCTGCCACACACTTGAAGACTTGTGTTCAGATCCCCAGCATAGTGGCCTGGATCTGAAACCTATTAGTTCTGGGAGTAAACAGAAAGATTCCTATAGCTCATTGGCCAGTCAGCCTAGTCAAAATGGCAAGCTCTAGGTTCAGTGAGAGACCCTGTCTTAAAAAGAAAAAGGTGAAGAATGATTGATGATTGTCAGCCTCTGCCTACACACAGACGCACGTACGCATGCACGGATGCACACACGCATACATACACACATGCAAGCACACACACACACACACACACACACATACACACACACTATGAACACATTATGTAAAACACACAAAAGTATTTTAAAAAAGTATTTCATGTCATTTAAATTTTAATGTTTCTCCTTAACCTTTCCCTCTGTTTTCTTTACTCTCTAAGATGGGCAATAGGGCTTCTACTCTGAAAAGAGAGAGTCTTTGGTTAACAACAGAGCTGCTACTGTAAAGGCCCAGAGCATAAAGATAAACAGGAAGCTTCTGTAAAGTAATAAATGCATCAGCATCTCCATGCTGTCTGTCTAAGAGGAGCACTTTGATCTTTTATATGGAGGAATGCCACTTACTGAATTGTTTCCTCTGGCTTGCTCAGCTTCTTTTCTTATACAACTCAGGCCCACCTGCCTAGGATTTCACCACCCTCAGTGGGCTGGACTCTTTCTCCTATATCAATTAACAATTAAGAGAATGCCCCATATACATGTCCACAGACCATTGTAATGGAGGCAGTTTCTCAGCTAAGGTTCCTTCTCCCCAGGTAACTCTAGTTTGTGTCTAGTTGACCGAAATTAATTAGCACAGATATCTAAACTAACAGTAGGGGGCAGGGGCATAATCAAAAATGGTGTTCAGCTTAAAACTCGTTTCGCATTTAGATTGCATTCTCAAGGCTTTCATAGTTCTTTTTAAGTTAAGTCCTGCTGAGATAAAGGGAAAGCCAGGAAGAGGTGAGAGAGTGACTACAGCGTCATCTGAGGTGCACACAGTGTTTGCGTTCAGAGGACGTGACGTTCATAGAAGGTGGCCTTGGCTGAAACCATATTGTAGAAGCTTTTGATCTACAGCTTTCTAGCTTTACTTTTTCATTCTTAGCAGCTATCTGGATAAAGTCACGTATATTTAAGATTTTGATGCATTATAAGCTGGGCTTTTATTGATTTTTTTTTTTTTTAACTACTTCTGAGCATTTTTCAAACCTCGGAAAATAGCAAGCAAGTTCTAAGAACCAGATTTAAATGTTGAACACACACACACATACACACACACAAAAGTAAAATTAAAAAAGAAAAATAACAGATGGTTACTATTAGAAAGTAGTAGTGGTTTCAACAGTAATTCACATTTTAACAGTCAGGTCATAACACAGTGCCACATCCCTTATGTTTTATAACTTCATGCCAGGCCATCAGTCTCTTCATGTTATCCCATCATAACATCCCAGCCAGATTAGTTTTCTCCTGGCAATAAGCATTTGATTTCATTCACATGTCCATGTTGGATCTTTCTAAATAAACTAAATATCCAATGTACAGTAGCTGTTAGGGTAGGAGTAAAGATAGGAAAGGGATGTGTAAACTTACTGGGTTTGAGAAATGAGATGCAGTGGTACTCCTAAACTCAGGACCAGGCCTTTTCATACAATAAACAGATACAGGAAAATCGGGCTTCTCTCTTTACAATTAAATCTATTTTCTATATGTCATACTAGATTAAACTGGAAAAAAGCAGTGGAGTGGGATAGGGAAGTTGTTAAACTCAATTAACAGTTTGAATTAAAAATACTGCAACTCCTATTTTGTGTCTCTTGACAGTTTCTGCCACCAGTTGAATCATTACAGTAGGGATGTTGGGGTGGAAAGGGAATACTTGTGGTTTGACTGAGTTCCTCTGCCTTCTTTTTTTTAAAGTTTTGCTTCAGATGACATGGTCACAAAGATGATATCTGAGGCAGTTTTTTTAGTTAGTATTAAATAGCTCCAGAAAACAGTGTCTCCCATCATCTAGGAAGCAGGTGTGACACAGGCACCTGAGTAAGGGCACATTTTCTTTACTGCTGACACATGCATGCTTTCGTCTATCAGTGGAATGTTCACGGTGAAACAGATCATGGAGAATGTAATGTCCCTTTAATGGTCTAGCCTTAAATCCAGCTACACACTCATCAACACTGCCCCAAAGACAGCCCTAGTATTTGTCCATCCTTTCAGTGACCTTAGAGGGGCCCTGGTAAAGGTCAGTCTCTACATGTAAAATGTGTTGTGGGAATGGGAATGCAGCAGTTTCCAGTTAGGTGTCACTTCTACCTTAAACCTATCTGATCTCTGTTTTGGGCAGAAAGAAGATAATTCAAATTCTCAGGTATCTAAGCTTCGAGAAAAACTGCAGCTGATCAGTGCTCTTACAAACAAACCTGAAAGCAACAGGCCTCCAGAGACTGCAGAGGAAGGTGAGCAGCAAGCTGGCTTTGGAATATTTCACGCAGGCTTGGGCAGCCTGCCTCCCACACAGGGAGTAGGGATGGGGTGGCCAGCTCTGATGAGACTGAGTGAGTGATGCCTGAGCGCACCGAGATGGCCGATGCACTTCACTTTCATTTAGCAAAAGCCCATTTTGTACTTGATTTGCACTCTAGTCTATTAAGGGGAGAATGGGTAATGTTTAGCTGGAAATAGACTTCTCCATGCTGTCTGCATCCAATTATTGGCAAAAATGTTACTGTCATAGCTTATATTAAACCATTCCTAAATGTTCTGTTTCTGTGAGTGCATAAAATTTACTTAAAAATAAATATTAGTCCTCCTGAAAGTCATTAACATGTAATGGTGGAATTATTCAATTTTCAGGCCACTTGGCTCTAAGTAAGGACACACTTAATCAATATTATTAGATACATTAATTAACATCTACTATTTAGACTTTATAAGGCTAGAACAATGTCCTAGATAGTATTGTCTTTGACCTCCCTGCCTCAAGCATTCTTCAGCTCTGGAGATATAGGATAGCTTCCCTGAGATTCTCTCCTGAGAGAAACAGAACTACGTTGAAGGCCTTCCCCTAACATTATCTTATGATAGCATTCTTACGGTATCATGGCTGGTGGCTCATACCCCCAGACCAGACTTAGCAGCCTACTTCCCAAGAAGTCAAAAGACGACTTACCCAACTAAAGCCTTAGCATCTAAACATAAATGATGACATCTGTACTATAACTTGAGTATTCTTTATCCAAAACATGTGGGGCCCAAAGTATTGTCAATTTGAAGTTCTTTCAGTTTTTTGAATATTTGCAGGTTATCTTTGAGTTGGTATTCAAGTCTAAATACAAAACTTCTCTCATGTTTCATATATACATTATCCATGTGGCCTGGTGTTAATTTTATTTGGTATTTTTAAGTCACCTTTATTTGATTATGACCCACCACATGAAGTTACATGTGAAATCTTTTGATTTAGGGCACTTAAGATTAGGGCTACTCAAACTGTGTAAGGGTTCTGTTTCAAACCTTAATGTAATACTGATTCCTCCTTAGTTGTCCACAAACATCCCTCAGTCCACACCTTTAACTTCATATTTACTGGGCTTCTTTAACTCTCAGCTACTTCTCTTAAGTTAAATATTTATGCTGTTGTCCTAAAAGGTAACTTTCAATACTAATTTAATTTGGTGTGACAATTGATTGTAATAAAGGTGTATGTGTTTGCTACAGAGCAAGTACAGAACTTCACATCAAATCCGTCAACATTGTCAAAATTTTCATACTTTCGTGGAGACCAAATGGAGACCCAGCTAAAACCTATCTCCTTACCAGGGATTTCTAGCATCAAAGGTAAGGTTAATGATGGATGTGTTCAACATTGTAACTGTTATAACTTTTTGATGTTTTCTTGTTTAAAAACAAAGACTATCTAATGGACTAGAGAGATGGCTTAGATGGTAGACTTGAGTTCAATCCCCAGAACACATGCAAAAAACAAAACAAAAAAACCCAGGTGTGATGGCATACAGTCTTATAATTCCACGCCCGGGGATATGAAGACAGATGGATCCTACTCAACGTCCAACCATCTTAACCTATTTGCTAAATTCCAAGATAGCAAGAAGCACTTTCTCAAAAGCAAAAAGGTCAACAGGGCCAGAAAGATGGTTCAGTGTAACAGCACTTACAGCCTGGTGACCTAAGTTCAATTCCCAGAACCAACTAAGGTGAAAGAAGAGAGCTAATTCTTTGAAGTTCATGCATACATATACAATGTAATAGTAATTAATTTTTAACTGAAGTTGTCCTGTAGCCTCCACATGCCTGCAAACACACAGAAACATATCACACACATAATTTACATTCAACATTATTGGTCCAGCTACAGAAAACTGCCTAAGTCTGAACAGCAGATAATTGGTTGAGAAGAATTCAAACTGAAACTGACTCCGAAGCTTCCATGCTGTCTTTCAGAGTTTTTTAAGGTCTTTGCTCAAAGAATAGGAATACACTTATAAGATACAGTCTCAACCAGGCACAGTGGCTCATGCCTCTAATCCCAGCACTTGGGAGGCTGAGGCACAAAGATAAAGAAATTGAGGGCAGCATGTGGTATATATAGTGAGATCATGTCTCCAAAGAAAGTCTTTCTTTCCTTGAGGATATGGTGTCTAATACAGAGGACAGAAAAGGCCAAGACAATTCTGTGAGATTAGCAAAATAAGTCTAAGTTGACTGTTTTCAGGGCCCTCTGGGATCCTGACAATGAGTAAAATAAATACCCATAGAAAAGCTATATTTCATCAAATGATGGTTGCTTTGTGCCCAGTAATGTCTTCTATCCTTCATTGTGATGTTGAGGCCTCCTGGTGTTCTTTTGATTGAAAAATCACCCAGTTCTGATCACATGTCCATAGGCTCTTCCCTTTGGCTTAGATGCCTTTGTACATAGGAGTACAAGCTTCCTGTACGTGTGATGATTTGTTTTGATTTCTCCTGTTTAGTGTATGCTACTCTGTTAAAATTTTCTGGGGAGAAACAAAGTTTAGCTTCCGTGAATAAAGTCTCAGTCCTGTTCATTTCCTAGCCTGCATCTCAGAGCCTGGAGACATGAGTGTGCAACTGAACAAATGAGTTGCTTGCATGCTTCAATTAATTAAGGCTTAAATTCTCTTCTTTTCCCCTCCCCTGTTTTCTGGAGAGGAAGGAGAGTCATTGTATCCTTGGAGCTGGAGCAGTTGTGAGCCACCCATCACGGATTCTGGGAACTGAATCTGGTCCTCTGGAAGTATAGTACACTCCTCACCACTGAGCCATCTCTCTAAACCCCTTTCCGTTTTGTTTGTTTGTTTGTTTGTTTGTTTGTTTGTTTGTAGGTTGATGGGCTTGTGTTTGTTTGAACTTTTTGGGGGGGTTGCTTGTTTGTTTGCTTGTTTGTTTGTTTGTTCGTTCCTAGACAGTGTCCCATATATCCCAAATTGACCTCAGTACTCTGTATACCTAAGGCTTGTCTTGAACTCTGGGTTACAGGTATATACCATACAACTGGCTCAGATCCTCTTTAAATGTTAAAGGCTTTTGTTGGAAACTTTCTAGTCCCACTTCTGAAATAATCTTAGTTAATTTTTTAATTCAGATTAACTAGTGCCATTAACCACCGAAAGATAAATACACAGAGGCAAACAGGGTCCTATGGTTTTTTTTTTTTTTTAATTGAGGTGTAATTCATATTCCATGTCACCCTTTTAAAGTGTATACTTGTGTAGGCCTTAGTACATTCTCAAGGCTATGCTTCATACTCAGTTAACAGTTCCTCCTGAGGCTTGCCAGACGCCTTGGGGCTTGGCATCAATCAAGCCTGACAACCTGAGTGGATCCACACGATGCAAGAAGAAACCCACTTCTCCAAGTTTGTCCTCTGATCTCCACATGTGCTTTGATATGTACACATGTGCATTTTCACACATACACACAGTAAACAAGTAGGAGAAAAATTTAAATTGCTCCCCAGTTTCCCCATTCTGGTTCCTGGCAACCACTGTCTCTGAATTTATGTATTTGGGATGTGTCCTTTGTAGGAATGGAATCATACAGTATGTGGCCTTGTGTGTGCTCTTTTGTCATATTGCTCTTTTCATATTGTGGCATGAAGCAGTGCTCCCTTTCTGTGACTGAGCAGTAGTTCGCTGTATGGTATACTCACTCATATTTGGTTCATCCATCCGTATAACTAGGTTGTTTCTACTTTTGTGCAATTAATAATGCTGCTGTGAACATGAGTGCATAGATTTTCACAGAAACATGTTTTTCTCTTGACTCAATGCCTAGGAATAAAATTGCTAAGTCATATAATTCCTGAACTGCCAAACCATTGTTCAGCATGTGTCTACCATTTTAAACTCTCATTAGCCATGTATAAGGATTCAATCCACTTTCCCTACATACTTCTTGATGGTGGCTGTCCTAGTGGTCATAAAGTAATTTGTGATCTTGAGTCTGTCCTTTTTTAATTTCTCTTATTTTTGAGGTTATATTATAATTACATCAACTCCGCCTTCCCTTTCCTCCCTCCAAACCCTCCCATCTCCCCCTCCTTGCTTTCTTTCAACTTCATGGCCTCTTTTTTCATTAACTGTTGTTGCATCTATGCCCAATCTATATAATGTTATTCATACATATGTTTTTCAGGGCTGAACATTTGGTATTAGATAACCAATTGGTGCACTCTTCCCTGGGAGAAGCTACTTCTCCTACTCTCTGCATTCCATAGTTGCCTATAGTTCTTTGTGTAGGGTTGAAGCCTCATGGATTTTCCCCCTCCACTTCAACATGTCTGTTGTTGTTATCCTTGTTCTATTCATATTTAGTCAGTCTTACCTGTGAGACTTCATGGGTGTATCTTCTGACATTCCTGAGAGACAAAGTCTCAAAGCAAACTCCTTGATTCTCTGGCTCTTGCAATCATTCCACCCTGCCTTCTGCACTGTTCCCTGAGCCTCAGATGCAGAAGCTGTGTTATAGATGCACCCATTTGGGACTGGGATCCACAACTCTGCATTTTGACTACTTCTGGTTTTCTGTAATGGTTTCTGTTTGTTGCAAAGAAAACGTTCCTTGATAAAGGACATTTCTACTACCCTTATCTGTGTCCATAAGGACAAATTTTTCAGAGTGTTTTTAGGATTTATGCTGGTTGTAGGTTCTCCAAGATCCATAACTTCACTAGGCCTGGATAATTGGTTACATTTCCAGTACTAGGCATAATTTCCCTCTTATTTTAAGTGGGTCTTAAATCCAATTAGAGAGCTAACAGTTACTGGCCAAGGTATGCATGCCACTCCTGCACTTCTAGGGTTACTGTGCCATGCCGGTCTTGATTGTGTTTCATAGGCATCATAGCAGGGCAGCACTCTTGGATGCTTCCCTCCTTTGGAACCTTGATTGACACCTTCTGATCCCAAAAAAGCTAGTGCTTAGGGTAGAGGCTTTCAGGTCAGTTCCAGCTCAGGGGCCTCTGGACTCTGTGTCTGAAATCCATGGTGTCTTCAGCAATAGGGACTATCTTCTGAGCAGCCAGGGCAATAGCAATAGCTATGTTTGGGGGAGATGACCAACAAAAAGAGGATTTCTTTGGATCTTGGAGAGAGCATTATCAACCCAGATGAGAAAAATTCACTTAAATGATATCTGTATATTTATACACCGACTTATGTATATTAGAGGGTTGGGTTTTTTTTTGTTTGTTTAGGTAAATAGTTAATAGTATGATTCCTTTTGACTTGTTCAGATGTCCTTATTTTAACTACTCCCTCTTTTTGTGTTTATCTCCCTTCCAAATCCCTGATTCTTGAGTTACTTAATTTCTGGATCCAGAAAGGCAACATTACATAGTAGAAAGAGCCGTACTAGGTAATATGAAAATTTGTAGCCAACGATGTTTGATACACTTCAGTGTTTTTTAAAGTTGGTTGATCTTTGTATTTTATAATCAGCAGTACTTAGAATGGCACCTCACATAAATATGTAGTACAGTATAGCAAAAGTATCTTTAGGACCATTTCAGAAATTGGAAACTCAAGTCAGCAACACAAATAGCAATTTTAAAAAATCAAACATTCTAACACAATACAATCAAAAGATGTACTGATTTGATGCTAAAGAATAGTGGCAAGAAAACATTAAAAGTCTTTGTTTTCTACAAACCATTATGTTTCTATAAGAAGAGCAAGCTTGATATATACAATAAAAACACTGTAGTTCACAGCCTACAATTGTCTCAAATCCAAAGCAGAGTGCTCCAGGCAGTATTTGGTAGTTACATGAAGACATATGCACTGTAAGGTGTACGTGTTATGTGTCAGTGCAATTGGGTAGTGCAGGCTAACACTCCCGGAAACACCTCAGACTTGTTAAGCATATGACTTTTATTTAACATTTGATCACTAAATGTTAAGGAGTCTTATTGTTGCCAAACTTTTCATGACCCCCACATTCAGGTACGTAACCCCTGTGGGTTTGCAGCTCATAGTTTAAGAAGCTATGCCATGTAGTATTCCTCTCATTCTTAAAGGATCAAAATTACTCTTTCTCATTTTTTTCATGTCTATGTGTGCATGCGTGTATGTGTATGTTGTGAATGTCTAAGTACATGTTTACATATGTAGGTGCTATGTATGAGTGTGTGCGTGTTTACACATGTGTGGTCTTGTACACATAGGTGTGTGCACATATTTTCAGAGGTTCCAGTTTGATGTCAGAAATCATCCCCATTGCTATTCCTGCCTCACTGAGACAAAGGCTTTTGGTCAAACCCAGAGCTGGCCAGTAGAGCCAGTGTCAATAGCAAGCTTGTTCTGTCCCCTGTCACCACTTTCTGAGGCTGGATTAAAGAAAGACCATCATGCCTTCATAGTACTTGCATGTAATGTGGGGATCCAAACCCTGGTTCTCAACTCTTGTATGAGGGTATGCACTTTAACTTCTGAGCCATCTTCCCAGCCTGGTCATTCTGATTTAATGAGATCTTAAATGTTATCTTTTAGAGTCAAAATCTCAACTAGTACTGGGGTGGGTAGGGGAGAAGAGGAAGGAAACTGATTGCTAGGTATTGGAGGTGGGTACCCTTTAGAGGCTAAAAAGGGGCTAAAGATAACATTTTTTGAAGCAAAGTTTTGGGAGAGTTTTGTTTTGCAAGGAAGAGGTTTGTTTACATGATGACAAGGTCTCACCATGTAGCCTTGGCTGGCCTAGAACTTACTGTATAGGCTATTCTCAAATCTAGAGAGATCTACCTACCTCTACCCATCCAGCCCCAAATGCCGAGATTAAAGATAGTAGACACCACACCATCTAAATGTCTTTTTTTTAATTCCTGTTTACACAGATCTTCAGGATTTATTCCACAAGGCTGGTCAAGATATGGATGGGATGCTGACCTACCAGGAAATCTGGAATTCCCTAGGTTCTGCCATGCCAACACCAGAGAGCTTGAGAGCCTTTGATTCCAATGGCGATGGGAGATACTCCTTCCGAGAGCTAAGAGTAGCATTAGGTATCTAATATTGTCAGGCATATTTTGAAAAGGATGTGTACTCTGCACTACCTAAAATCTACTTATCTTAAAAAAAAAAAAAAAAAAAGAAAAAAAGAAAAGAAAAGAAAAACTTTTGACTTAACCCATCAACCCTCCAGCCCTTCACAAAACTGTAGCAGACACATTGCCACCTTTTAACTTGTTTGAAAAATGCTATCTGGGGGGGGAAAAAGTTATTTTTTTAAAAAAAAATTACTTATAATATGATGTTGTTTGGAAATCTATGATTTCCTGAAGCCAGTAAGATCTTGTAACTTAAAAGTTGCCAGGAGAAAAATAATAAAGCCCTCTATGTCTCTCCTGTTTTGAAGGGAAGAGAACTTATCTTTTGAAGCTGGAAAGTATGTACATAGAGTTAATAAGTCACTGTTTATATTTCATATGAATTTGCCTTAAATTAGCTGCACTTTATAGAACCTCAGAATGTCTTTTCTTTGAAAGATGAGTCTTTTCTGTTTGTAAATATATAAAATGAAAGATTGTGCATATTGTGTAGAAAGTCAAGAGAATGACTTTGGACAGGATAACAAGTGACTTGTAAGTAATTGACAGTCTGCTCTGGGTGGTAGCTGAAACTGTCTGCATCTCTTTAAGGCAACCCTTAAGACCATAGCGTTTGTTTGGCCTGAGAGCTGGGGCATCAGATCAGGGAGTGGATGCTGTGCAGAGGGTGCCAGCTCCAGACTCAGGAAAGTCAGATTTGGGGTCATTGCTCCTATTCCTAACATAAAAACCAGAGAAGTCTCCTTATGATTTCCCTCACTTTTAATTATCTTTCTTCAATGTTTATGAGCATTAAAGTTATTCAGTGGGGAATTATGTTTTCCCCTCAAGCAAACTAGATTGTCTTCTCTACCCACCCACTGGGGACTACCTTAAAGTCATGACTGCCTACCTTTGGCATCATGAGAAGGCTCATGTCCTTGGTCACTTTGTCAAATTAGTTGTCCAGAACATTCGAAAAAAGCTCTGAGTTTTGACTCGGGAAACATTATCCTTTGGGATTTTACCTCTGGACTAACCATGAACTTTCTTGGTTTTATTTCTTGGCAGGAGGCCAAAGACAAAATGTGGTCAAATGACATGTGAAATCATATTCTTTCCACACAGTTGTCTACTCAAAAGTAGCTATAGGTTTTCTGTCCAGAGGATGCCACAGTGAGCAGGCAAGCTTAGAGCAGGGCTGTCCAGTGATGGTGGCAGTTTTTCTAGACCTAGAAAGCAATTACAGTGCTTGTCTCTTTATGCTCTTTGTGGGCAAGTCATGAAAGGTCTGACTAGAAGGAAATCACCAACGTCACTTATGTTGAGAACACTTACAGTGTTCTTAGGCGTCCCTGGGCAGCATGAAGACCCCACAGAACCTCACTTCGCCGAGCCAGTCAGGGAACACTGGAGGAGCTGTGATGCAGGCCTCTTTAGTACAGATCATTCCTGTTTAATTTTCTTCAAGTTGTCCTGTCAGCTGTAGATAGTCGTACAGTGCCCTTAAACCTGGTTTGTTTTGTATCTTATTGCCTTTACATGACGTTCAGCTTGGTGTTGGCCTCTTTTTTCCCTAGACATATTAAAACTCAGTGAAGGCAAGATAAAGTTTCCCTCTGCACGTGTCTTCTTATCTCACGTTTCTCCCTCTTTAAATTTTTTGCCTTAATGTTTGCCTTGCCCATCTATGCTGTCACTTTCTTGGAAAGGTTGAAAATACACTTCAACATTATCCTGGCACTTTAGGTAACTTGAAAGTAACTCTGGTTCTTCTGGCTGCCTCCTGTACTCCCCCTCTTTTTAATATATAGATATAAACCCATACAGATTTTGTAACAACCAAATAAAATTCTAGCAATAAATTGAATTATTCTGCTATATTTGTATATATTGTACCGTAAATATTATGTCTGTACCTGGAAGGTTTTTTTTTTTTTTTTTTTTTTTTTTGAGAACTGATTTATATGAAATATACTGAGGGTAATGTAGCTTGTCCTTTTTAGTTTCAAGTTTTTATTTGTAGGCAGATACTTTCATGACACCTTAACTCTTTGTGGTATATGCTTTTCAGTGGGGAAGCAGGGTTTATTTCTTGGTCTTTCTTCTGTTCTTTCCCCTTCAAGCTTGTCTGCCAGCATCGCCCCTGAGCCATGTGTTGTCCCCTCCCCTCTCCTACCAACTTGCCCATAGGTATCCATAAGTGTCCTCTGACCTGTAACCCTCTTCTCATCCTGCCTGAGGCATTACCAGATCTCCTGGGCAGAGGTAGGTATTATCCTCTTTTGCTAAAAATTAGACAGTCTGATGGCTGAGGAGCCGCAAAAGCCTGTCACTCCGTGCAGATTGGGGTTTCATTTGTACATTGTCTTAACTTGTGCATCCAGTGCCTTGTGCTAGTCAAGCTTCACCAGCCACAGACCACCCCTGAGAAGAACTGGATGGCTTTGGGTTTAAATCCTTTGGCCTTGTCAGTCAGCAGCTCTCTAGTGCTTCCCACCTTGGTTTCTTAAAGCACTTCTCCTTGGCCCTTTGCTTTATGGCTATGAGCCATGTAGCATAATATATACTGAATAACCTTCCTCAAGCTAGTCATGGTAGCACATGCTTCTAATCCAGCCCTTGGGAAGCTGATGCAGGAAAATAATGAGTTCTCGTCCAGTCTGGGCTACATAGTGAAATCTTGTCTCAAAAAAAAAAAAAAAAAAAGTACCTAGCTTAAAGATGACTTCGGTGGCATTTAAGGAGCAGAACAGTGCTTGCACTTAGAATGAGTCGAGTGCAAAAGAGCTAAGGAGAGTGGACAATCGTATTTCACTACCAGCTCCTTCCCCTTCCATTGCACTTTTCTCTTTGTTGTTTCTGGACACAGCCCTATCAGCCCCCCTCTCTGGTCCCAGTGTCACAGTTGAAGATTTTGACTGTGACAGGCTCACACTCATAATGGCCTATTGAGTTGTTTTTAGTGACAGCTTTTGTTTGCTACACACCTCATTGGCTTGCTTACCAACCATCTAGATGTGGTCCCTTCTCTCACAGTCAAGCCAGAATACATATGGGTATTCCTGAGACTTGAAAGAGCGTGTATTGTTTGTTATATGAACCTAACCTACCTTGTTGTTTTTCTCATATTAAGAAATGTAAATCTACTTTATATTAATGGAGCTATTTTGGTAATGTATAAGCAATTTTGGTTCTGTTTAGGGAGTAGATTTGAGGTTTCCATGACTTCATTTGAGCTGTATTGATTTCCTATAATATAGCTACTTTAACTTATCTGAATAAAATATTTCCTTTCTCTCACTGTGTCTGACTGAAATCTTCCCTGCTTCCCCTGGTTACTAAAGGGGGAAACTTGCTTTAGTCCCTATTTTTATGGACTGCGTGCTACGTCCTCTTGAAATCAAAGGCTGTTAGTGTCACCAAACAGTATTCAAGAATCTGACTTAGGAAAACAATGTTTTATCAAGAAGGCTCCTGAAGGTAACCAAAAAGCAAAAGAAACAAAACAAAAACCCTCAAGAACTGTCTCTATGCTGTTGGTTGCCTGGCAGACCGCTTTGTTAAGACCTGCATGTAATACTCCTTTGCTGAAGTCACCACACACTTTGTTCACAGAAACTGGGAACTGGGCAGGAGGCTTCCTTCCAGATGGATAGCCTTCATAATGCATGAAGGTGCTCCCCAGGCTGCTAGAGGAAAAAAGTCATCAACAGTCAGCTGTGGACCCTGTGTTCAATACTACTGGCCAGCCAGGCAAGATATGCCCACTGGTACAATAGTAGCAACTCTATTACAGGACTAACCAGCTATTTTCTGTTTGGAATTGAGGCCCGCTCCATAGCAGGGAATTCATGATCTAGCATCATAAGCTCAATCAAAAGCCTGTGGTTGGGAAGGTTAGAGGCCATACTACAGAGACTCATAACCACTCAAGTAAGGGTTGAATGTTCATCCATAAATGAGACCTTTAGATAGCCCCTCCATGTTCAGGGCTCATCGCAGAAGAAGGGGAGGACAGAATAGAGGAGCTGGAGGAAGGAGTGGGGTGGTGTAGAACACTGATGCTGAGCATGACGAAGCTGTTACACTCTCAGACCCATTATAGTTGTGATTACCTGCACAAGAAAGACAGCCTGACAACATCCAGTCATGGGCCAGGAAGGAGCTCATGAAGCCCCACCCCTCCCTGAGGACTTAAATGCAGTTAATGGTTGTCATGAATGGGAAATTTATTTTAAGTAATGTAACCACTAATGAGCAATGAAATTCGTTGTTTTTTGTTTGTTTGTTTGTTTTGGTTTTGGTTTGGTTTGGTTTGGTTTGGTTTCGGTTTTCAAAAAGGACATAGAAGAATTTCAGTGTTTGACTTGAGTAGTGAGGGCTGTAGGGCTCAGGCTTTAGGCATATCCAGGATGAGAGGGAGCAAGGTAAGGGTGAGGAATGAGGCTGCTCTGATGTCCATTAGAACCTCCACTTAAGGACTGTTTTATATTTTCAGATTCTATTTAAAGAGCATGGTCTTTAAAAAAAAAAAATTCTATTGACTTGTGGGGGTAGAAAAGAGCTTAAAAATCCATTGCTAGAGAGAGTTTTTATGGACCAGATGAGGGTTTTTCTATGTATTTACCAAGTTTCTGGGCATCCCCATGTCTCTTCCTTACCATACATACACAAAATCTCAGGAAAGTTTATACATAAAGCTTATACCATTTACAAACATGTTTGGCTCATTTACCTAGTGAAAGGTCTGGGAATAATATATAAATGGTAGAGCACTTGCTAGGCATTGAACAAATGCTGTGTTCAATTCCCAGCGGGGGCTAAGGGGTCCAGGAGATGAAAAGAAATTCCTATTCTATGGCTGAGCCACTCCTTCTAATCTTAAAACTGGACTAAATCGGTAGTATTAGTCTTTGTCAGTCCTTTAAGGACTGTTTTTCAGGAGATACTAACATCCCCATGTAATGGATCTTAATTTTTGAGGAAGAAAGATTTAACGGTGCTAGAAAGATAACTCAGTGATTAAGAGCACTGGTTACTTTGCCAGAGGATCCAGATTCAATTTCCAACACCCACATAAAGATTCACAATTCTCTATAACTCCCGTTCCAGGGAATCTAATGCCCTCTTCTGGCTTCCACAACACAGACATACATGAAGGCAAAACATCTATACACATAAAATTAGGGAAGAATTTAAAGATATAAACAATAAAGCCAAATATAGGGATACAAACCTGAAATTCAGCACTCAGAAGACTGAGGCAGGAGGATCAGAAGTTTAAGAGTAGCCTAACATACACAAATTCCAAGCCAGCCTGGAGTACAGTGAGCCCCCATCTTGAAAGAAAAGAAGAGAGAAAAGATACTAACTAGTTGTAATTCTAGAAGATGCTCTGACTAACCAGTCTGCCAGTCAAGTTAATGACAACCCCACACACTAATGCTTCTAACCAAGCTGTTCTAACAAGACATGACCAAGTAATACACCATGGGGTATGGTAGAAATACCAGAAAGTTAGATGCCAGGAAAATGTGAACTGGAGGACAGCTAGCTGTGCAACAACGAAGGCACAGGCATGTGAACCCGAGTCCGCATCTCTAACGGGACAAAGCCAGCTAAGAATCAATACATGGCAAATAACAGTCTGGCTATTCTGTAGCGTCATTTATTAGACCTATGACATAGGCAGTGTGGGCCACCATAGCCCTCAACAGCTGTCCTCTTATGGCAGCTGTGATTCACATCCTGCTGAACAGTAGTGTCTGGAGGCCTAGCTCAGAGCCTGGTACTCGTTTGGGTTTGAATCCACGATTATTGGTTCAGTGCCTCCCAAATAACTAACCTGCAGTTCCCAGATCATGCATCGGTGAAACCCATGGCCAGATTGATTAAAGTGCTATAACCACATGCTAAAGACATTGCTCTTCTAGGAACAAATGAGACAGAGGAGAGACTTGGACTTTTTTTTTCTTTAAATCTTTCATGATGTGATGTCCAAATGGCTCTAACCTCCTTGTCAATACCACTCCTTGAGGTTATCTCTGTTTTCTACCAAAAGGAGCCTTTGATACCTACAGCTCCCACCCTCAATGAGAGGAGACTACAGTTCTGAAGCAAAGGGCTTGGCATTTAAGCAGTTTGTTCCATGGGCCAGTATGGGGAGGGAACAGAAATGGACATTCTTTTCAGGGCAGTTGGCCAAAGGGTAGGAGACAGAGTGGCTCAGCATGGGAGGTAGGTTGCAGAGGGACAGGGCAAAGGGCACCTCCTCAAAAATGGGAAGTGGGTGCGGGGAGTCAGTCCGAGGCTGTGGCATTGTTGAAGACAGGGGCTGCTTTGGGCCCACCAGAACATGGTGCAAGGGACCGGAGGCTTCACCTCTGGGACTGCTGTCTTGCACAGCATAGTTCCCACCTTCAGAGATATCCAGCTCCCACAAAGAATCTGGATTCTGATCTTCAGTCTTGGTGAGAGCAGGGGGAGGGCCGGTGTTAATGGCTGCATTCAAGCCATGGTGACGCCGCTTGTTTATCCAGTACAATAGTGGGCTGTAGGTGAACATGGCAGCTCTCATCACTTCCACCCACTGCTGGGCATGTTCTTCTCTCTGCAAGTTCTTCTTCCAGTGCAGAAAGATAATGCAACTGCCTATCAGCGAGGAACACAGCCCCAGGAATCCAATGCACAAGGAGATCCACACTAGGGCAGTGAGAAAGAAATCTGATGTGCTCATGTAAGGTCTGCACTGTTCCTCATTTCCCTCCTTGACCTCATCACCATTACTCTTTCAATTCCTTCCCACCCTCCTCATTCTCTTGCTCAACACTAGACTTCCAAGTTACTTAAGGGATCATTTTAGCTATTTACAGATTAGTAACACTAGGTCTAGAAATGGTAAGAGCTAAGTCAGCCTTCCAGGAGTCCTTATGTTTCCAGGAAAGATTATCATCTAATTGCTTAGCACTCCAAGAGACCACCACTCCTCCACCCATGCAAAAATATTTTCCCTACTTATTTGTCCCCCATGCCCAAGAACACAAAGTGAGGGGCAGGGATTAGAGATGGTACACTTACTGCCAGGGAGTCTCAGGTGCTGCTTTTGGGAATCCATAAATGTCAGCCTTGGCACCCTATCACTCTGGGGAAAGGAAATTCATATCTCTCCACCAATAGGAGTTCTCAGAAGGCCCAGGCCTCATTGTTCTCTAAAGGAAGGGTCACCGGGTTCTGTCCACCGGGCATTCCAGGGGCCATGTCTGTGGAGTAGTCTTGTTAATGAAGGGAGGTACCCATCGTGGCATCTCATAAACGATTACCTGCTGCTTCTACCAAAGACTGAGCCACCAGGAGAGTTGTCTGCCCTCATCCTTGCAGTGAACCAGTAGAGCAAGACCCCAGGAAAGGACCCTGGCACTCTCAAGGAGCTAACCATGTGGTTAGTGATTAAGGAAACTCCACTACATACCTTCCCGATTCCCATTGGGACAGACAGCACACAGAGCACTGGGCATGCCTGCCCTCAACAAACCTTGGACCAAGCTGTCAGAAGAAAACTGGCTCAGGGTAACCAAGAAGTCAGCACATCTTTTATTTCTGTTTCATTTCCTTCCTTTGACAAGTGCTGGCAAGTGTTATTGGGCCCTGTGGGAGCTCTCCTCTGTCTGGTCCTGTGTCCATTTCCATCCTAATCTCCCTCCTCATCCTTCATACTTCATTCCCAACAGACATTCCCCACCCCCACCCCTGCAGTCCCTGCCTAACTACACACACACACACACACACACACACACACACACACACACACACACCAGTCAACTTGAGAATTTTGTTTATGCTGCTTCCTCTCTCCAGAGTGTGACTTCTTTCATTTTACCACTGAGAACTTTCTAGGCTCAGCTTAACCCCTGCTGTGTAACAAATAATCCTTTCAGTTCCCTTCCCAGATGTGATGTAAGAGTTGTCTAGTCCAACTCCCTTCAGATGCCTGAGCCCTGTGGCAGCAAATCTCACCTACCCAGCAACCAATCCCCCAGGATTTATTAAAGTCAGGACCTTGCTTACTACTTTTTAAGGCAGCTTAATCCATTTATGGGTAGCTTAGTTAGAAAGCCCTTGGGAGTTAAGCCTAAATTAACTCGTTGGAGGATATACCAACCGGTCCTAACTTAAATTCTTACCATTTAGGTTTTTTCCTATTTATAGTCTCCCATTGTGCCTTGAGACACTTCTGGTTACTTTTAAATTTCTGACCTAAATACCAGACAGAAACAATGTAAAGATAAAAGGTTTTATTTAGCTCCTGGTTCAGAGGGTTCAGTCCATAGTTGCTTGGTCCCATGTGGGTGGGCAAAACATCACAGCCAGGAGAAACATATGGCAGAAGACCAGCGCTCGCTCACATGCTCACATCGCTCACATCGCTCACATCGCACCAAACAGGAAGCTGAGTACAAGGCCAGAGGCAAGGTCTGAGCCATAAACGTTCAAAGTCCTGCCCTTGTGCCTTTCTTCTGCCCAACCTCTTCCATTTCCACAGCCTCCCAAAATAGTGCCTCCAGCTGGGGACCAAGGTTCCAAACGCCAGCTCATTGAGGACATTTTAGATTCAAACAAGAGCCGGCCCTGTTGACAGATTTCTTTCCTAGAATGTCTTTGCCTTTGGCTGTACTTTATTGCTGCTTTTCCTCCTCCTTTGTTGTTTTCCTCTTTCTCCTGGTCTCTAAGTGTTTGCATGCTCCAGGGCTCAGTGTCTAGCATTCTATCTACATTCCCTCCTCAGTGGGCATACCCATATTTATAACATTAAAGGACACAAATACACTGATGATTCACAAATTCATACCTCCAGCCTGGAACACACCCCAGAACTTCAGATTCACATACCCAACAGTCTGGTTGACATCCTTGCTTGCCTATCAAGTTATACTTAATCTTGGGTTTTAAGGGAGGAAAATGATTCACCTTTGGAAGTTTCCATATTTACTTCACACACTGGAGCAAATTCTAGCAGTCAGGATGGTCCTTTGAAGAGCAGGCCATGTTATTCCTCTGCTCAAAGCCTATGGCAATTACCCATCTCATTCCAATTGTAAGCTAGTTCTTAACCACAGCCTCCAAAGCCCTGAGCAATTTAACCACCCAACTCAATGTCATCTCTATCTCTGTTCCCTCACCCACTGGGATAACTTTGTGCTGTTTCACAAAAGTATAATCATGTTTTGCATTTGCTGTCCCCCTTGGCTAGTCTGTTCCTGCAAGTCTCCATATAAACTATTCCCTCATTTTACTCAGATCTTTTGCTTGGGTGTCCCTTGTCTTCCTTTGATTTTTCTTCATACAAGCATTGTCACCTACCTTTTCCCACTAAAATGTAAACTCCATGAATTCATGTAAACACGGTGCTTGCATTACTTACTTTTCCGTTGCTGTGATAAAAATACCATGACTGAGGCAATTTACAGGACAAGGATCTTTTTTGGCTCCTAGTTCCAGAAAGGGCGTCAGTAATGACAGAGGAGGCATGGCAGCAGGTGGATGGGGCAAAAAGCCAGGAGTTCACATCCTTATCCTTATCCACATGCAGGAAGCAGGAAGCAATAACTGGAAGTAGGGCAAGCCTACACACTCTCAAAGCCACCAGCAGAACCCACCTCCTAAAGGTCCACAGACTGAGTCTACAGGGACATTTCTCACTGAAACCACCACGGATGAAAAGCTTTAGATAGGAATAACTTCTGGGGGGCGGGGAGGAGTGGGGAGATAACAGGGTGAAGTAGAGTAAAAATAGACTCTAAGAGGGACCGGGGATAGTATGGTTAGACACTTGTCATGTGAGCCTGGTGACCTGTGTTGGGTCCCTAAAACCCATGGAAAGGAGGAAGGAGAGAACCTACTCCACAAAATTTTCTTCTGCCACACAATTGTCTGCCCCTACCCCAACACACATAACTTTTTAAATGGTGGGGAAGTTCATCCAGAGAGGTTTCTCTGAGGTGCTGAGGTGTGAACTGAGTTCTAGATGATGATGAGGCCGTATCTGAGCAGAGGAAACAGCACATGCCGGAAGCCTGAACCAGATACAGGACAGCAAAAGGAGACTTTCATAATCACCTACTGCATTGTCCCAGCATTGAGAGTCTCATGTCTAATGACAGGTTGTGTCGAACAGTTTGGAGGCTCTGTTCCTGTCTCAGTTGGGGTTCCTATCAACTGAGACCCAGGTAAGGACTCCACGTGACTGTCCTCATATAGGGTATACTCATGCTGGCAGCAGGTGTGACAGAGACGATGTCTTCATTGTCCCTAAGCTCACATCTGGTTCATCGGATGAAGAAGATGGTGGCATTTTAGCCTGAATAAAGATTTGTCAAGGACAATTCCTAGTGTCTATGAGTAGTTCGGTTACATGCCAAGAAACAGAAGGAACCCAGCCTTCGGAGTCACTATGTTTTAAAAAGAGCTCAGCTCTTAGGTAGAACTTGGTACCTCAATGATTTGCAGCCAGTTTAGCTTCCCCATCTGTAAAATGAGGGTAATGCATGCTTCATAGGGTATGAGGCCAATGAGACCTTCTGCAAATAGAAACCAAAAAAGAGAAGCGTCAGCTGTGATGTTCAAACATCCTTTGCTGCTAAAAGAATTGTTACAGCTAGTGCCAAGTAAATTTAGCAAAGGGGCAAGCCCAGTGAGAACCCGAATATACAAGCCAGCTTTCCAGAAGCTTGGCGCGCAGAGGCTGCTGGTCCCTGGAGGGAGGACGTGAATCCCGGCAGACTCCCAGGAGGAGACGCACCCCTACACCCACAGAGCGGGTGGGCAGAGAGCCACCAGGCCTTAGCGTCGCTGCCCCTTCTCCTCTCCGGCACCCGGAACCTTGCGCGCGCGGAACCTCGGTGGCGGAACACCGGCGACGCGGACCTTGAGGGCGATGGAGCACGCGCGCGGGCCGGGGGCCGAGGCTGACGCTCCGGAGGAGGAGGGGGAGGCGCGGGCGGCCATGGCGGCCGTGGTGACTGCTGCGGGTGGAGCGTGCCCCGCAGTTCTGCAGGTGGCCGGCCTCTACCGGGGCCTGTGTGCAGTGCGCAGCCGCGCCCTGGGGTTGGGGTTCGTGTCACCAGCTCAGCTGCGCGTGTTCCCGGTACGCCCGGGCTCCGGCCCGCCCTCTGGGGGAGCAGATGGCAGTGGGGTCAGCGAGCTGGAAGCTAACCCCTTCTACGACCGCTACCGGGACAAGATCCAGCAGCTGCGCAGGTGCGGTCCTGACCCGATGGGGGATGGGGGCGGGGACTCGCGACGCGCGGACAGAGCTTCCGGCGGCGTATACTACAATACTACCCTGCTTGGTGGGCTTGTACTGCACCAGTAGTTTGTTTCCAAGTTCAGAGAGGCCAAGTCACTTGCCTAAGGTCACATCGCTGGTCTCTGCAGAGCCTTTGAATCTTTCCAAAGTAGTTTTGTGCTCAGGTGCAGAGCGCCCAGGTGAGCTCTCACCTGTGTAGAAATGTGAACATGATTTGCTCAAGGTCACATGTTGAATCAGCCAGCCGACGCCTGACCAAGAGATCAGGTTCCCAGGCTCCCAGCTTAGGGCCCTGACTGCATGGAAAGGAGACTGGGAGTGGGAAAAGCGCTGCAAAGACTAATAGTGCTACGTTAGATCGCCCGTTGAACCTGCTCATTAAGACAGTGTTAGTGGGGGGGGGGGGGGGGGGACACAGGGACCGGACTTGCTTAGTATGCTCAGGGCCTTGAGTCCCATCCCCAGCCCTGAGGGGGGCAAGTGGGGTAGGGTCATGGTTGAGGTAGATATTGTGGGCACCTAGTTCCAGGTTGGAGGTCAAAAATGGAAAGGGGTTTTGAGGGAGAGTTTGGTGGTATAGGAAGACAATTATAAAAGGAAATGGACATTGAGGGCTGTAAATTCTCTGCCTTTCATCTCATTTTAATTCCACTCCCTTAATTTTTTTCTTCATCTTCCTCTAACTAGTGTCCACCACTTATTGTGTGGGACCCCTCCACCAGTCCACTTCAGTGTGAACGTAGATAGTCCACACCTTATGAAGAAATGATGGAACAAATGAATGGCTACTTTTGATCTCCTTCAAACATTAGCTATTCTCAAATATTTGTCATCTTAAAATAGTGGTTTTGACCTACAATTCTCTCCACCCATTTCTCTCTGGTCCCCTTTACCCACGAGCATCTCCAAAGATGTGTACTCACACTCTGGATACTTGTGGTTCCATTCACACTTATTCAAGAGCCAATGATGGTTTCTTTCTTTCCTCTAGGTCATTGCCATCGATATGTATACATACTGACATTTCAGAAAGTGTCCCATTGGATTCTGTATAATGTCCAAACTGCTTAATGTTCCACATAAAGCTTTCACACCCTAGTGTCTGCCAGTCTCTCTAGCCTGATCTAGTATCAAAACTTCAAATAGTATGGTCTAGGTCTATCTGTAAAATAACTGGAGGGAGGGGAAGGGTGGAATGTTCCAAATATGGGAAATAATACAGTCAGAAGTACAGTCAAGAAACCACCTCAGTCATTCAAGGATGTTTGAGCACATTTTTGTTATAATTACCAGTAGTGCTCATGTACATAACTATGTGTCTCCAACTAGATAGTAAATTTCAAGTAAGGACAAGTAGTTATTTTCTGTGCCCCTGGAGCCTAGGAAGAGCCCTGCTACCCAGGATGGCCCTGTGCTCTCTATGAACTCACTGTGGCAAGCTCAGGTACATCTGTGGCTTACCCAGTCCTTCCAAACAGAAAGATAAAGATCAGCCTGCTACATCATAGCAATGAAAAGAGTGATATTTGGTGTCATATCCTAATAGAATGGGGTACCCTATAATGTTTTGATTATGAAGATCTACTAAAGGGTTATACAACATGTCTTGTTTCCTCGCCCATGGTGGTGTGTCTTCCAGCCAAGTAGCTGGGGATGTTTTCTTCTCAGCATACAAAGCCAAACATCCCATGGTCAGCTACACATTCTGAAATATTTCTAATGATGATGGCAACCCCAGTCTGGCCTCTAGGCCTGAAGAGCATCCCCATTTTAAAATAAAAGATGAATTCTGATGTTCTGTCTGAGAGTTCTTTGGAGGCTAGGTTAGGGAGATATTCAGGCATTAACTATTCTCCCAAAGGACCCACTCAGAGTCCAGGATCTGAGGGTGGGGACAGAGGGGAACACCAAGAATTATGTGAATTATAGGTGTGCTGTAGGGTTCCTGCCTGCAGAGCTGACCCAGCAATATGACTTCAAAGTATTCTATCTGGAGTAGTCTAAGTACCTACAGTGTTGAAGTACCTGAGAAACCCAGCCTTGTGTCACTTGATAATAACCTGCCAGAGGGCTGGAGTGGGGGGAGGGGGAATGTACTGGCTTTGCTTTCTACTTTCTTGACTTCCAGGCTTATACCCAGTTCTTAACAGCTGAGAGCAAACCCTACACCCTCTTAATGCCTATGTCCTTTCTTTGTGGACATGGCCTATGATGCTTTGTTATTTCAAAATCCAGAAAGGCCCAGGTGCTTTAACCCTTTGCTTTACCTTTGGTCAGGTCTGACCCAGCTGCCTTTGAGTCCCGCCTGGAGAAGCGCAGTGAGTTTCGGAAGCAACCAGTGGGGCACTCCAAACAAAGTGACTTTATCAAATGTGTGGAGCAGAAGGTAAGGCCTACCTGGTCCTTTTTGGGTGTGTTTTAAGTTTACCAGCATTAGTCCTGGCCCTTACCCTTGAAGTGATCTCATTGATGGATGGTGGTTACCTGGACATCTGATCTTCACCCATTCTCCCTCCATAAATGTATATCCTCTTCTTTCTGGGCAAGATCCTGTAGTCATGATGGAATGTAGAGGAATGAAAGGATGGTCCCTGCTCACAAGGAATGCAGTGAAGTGATCAAACTGAGGCACACATGGCACTGGGCTATAGGGAGCAGGGGAATGTTCACAGTGGAAGTCTGGGGTTTAAAGACAGGGTCTCACTGTCTATCACTGGCTGAACTAGATCTTGCCATGTAGGCAAGGCTGGGTTTGAACTCACATAGATCCTCTTGTCTCTGCTTTCTGGGAGGTGGGATTAAAGTTATATACCACTACATCAGCAAGATTTTTTTTATTATTATTTTTTGTTATGTTTAAGTGTGTATGCATGTGAGTATGTATACATGATTGCAGAGACAATTGAGTTTAATAAGTAGAGGAAAGGTAACTTAACTGCTGAGAAGATAGGCTCTAGAACCACATGCCAGGGACTGAATCATAGCTACCAGCTAGGTAGTTATGAACAAATTATATAACTTCTCCGTGCCTCCGTGTTGCCTATATGTGAATTAGAAACAAATAATAATAATACCTAATTCACAGAATGATGCTAAAGACTGAATGAACAAGTATCATCAGAATTCTTCAGTTCAGTCCCTGGCACATAAAAAGGACTTAATGTATCATTAGTCATTGTGATCCTTGAGCAGTCAAAGCTGGAGAAAGCATGTGGATAGCTGTGTGTATAATAACCTAGGATAAGGCTTTCCAGACTCTTTGACCGTGACCCACAGTAGGAAATAGATTTACATTGCTACTTAGACTATGTTACAACAAGCACATTTTTTATGGAACAGTGCTTGTCTATTTTTAGACTGGTTCTCACTCTGTAAACCAGTCTCATCTGGAACTTATTAGGTAACCCTCTTGAGCTGTCAGTCAGTAGTCCTCCCACCTCAGACTCCCGTGCATTCAGGCTGCAGGTGTGAGCCATCATGCCTGGGGAGTGCATTCTTAATATTTCATTTTCTGAAAAGTTCTGATAACAATCCACTGAATTGATTTCATAGCATATAACTTGAAAACTGCTAAGCTGGGAGGTGCATGGAATGAATTCTTGAGAGACTTCAGCCAGGTTGGGGCATTTTCGGTTATCTCTGGCCTTTTTCAAGGGGAAGTGTATTTTTGTTATCATGCTTCTGTGGCAGAAGGGTTAATGAGGAAGGGTTGATTTTGACACATGGTTTCAGACATGTCAGCACATCATGTCACGTGGGGTGTGGGCTCAGGAAGCAGAGAAAGGGGACTATAAGAAAAGACCAGGATAAGATGGAGCCCTAAGGACATGCCCCTAGTGATATACTTCCTCTAGATAAACTCCACATCCTACCTTCCATCATTTCCTAATATCATGATAGTGTGGATCCAGCAAAAGATTAAACCATCATTGGGTCAGAGCCCTCATGACTAATCATTATGGCAAGTACCATCACAGACTTACCCAGAGGTATATTTTACAAATCCTGTAGGCATCTTTCAATCTAATCAGTATAACAAGGAATATTAACCACCACAAGAAGTCTAATTAATAAAGGAACTGAGAACTCAATAGGACTCCATTGTGCTGAGGGTACCTACCACTAGAAATGCTATCAGAAATAATCAGTTTTAGAAAATACATCTCTCCATTTCTCTTCTGACCTGTGGCTAGTGTGGAAAAGTCAGAGAGCCAAGCACAGAACGCCCCAAAAAGAACAAATTGGGAAGGAATCCTTCATGTTCTTCACACTCCTTCATAGTGACAGGTGTAGAATGAACTTCCTGTACCATCATTCAGTAATTACTAACAAACCCTTTCTCACCTTTGCATCTCAGAATCTTGGCAGAAGGAAAATTGTCAATAAACAATAACTCTTAGAATAGTATAAAGAGTGTTGTAAAGAGTGGATAGAAGTGAATTCTTGGGTACAGAATTACTTAGTGAGATTGGCTACTTCAGTGACTTGGTTTTCTTTTTTTATGAGGAAAGTATAGTTTAATAGCCTGTCTCATCATGTATTTCAGACACATGCCTCAGGGAAACAGCCTGTGAGCAAAGGATTCACTAAGGATAAGGTAGGTTTCTAATTAAATATAGAAATCCAAGTCTGAAGTCATATGGGACATCTATAATAAGAAGCTGCAAATTTGAACATATTTATTGTGCTCAGCGATTTGTGTGTGTGTGTAAGGTGATTTTTTTTTCCCCAACAGTGGAGACAAGAAATATTTCTCTAGATTTTTTGTGTCCTTGACATGACCCCTAGCTTAAGTATGTATCCAAGGATGCTACAAGAAATTTGAAGGAAATGGAGTGCATTCCTTTCTATAGAAGCACCACATGTAACCTTTCTATCAAAGAATCATATGTAGCCTGTACTTTATTGTGCAAATAAGGAACTCTCTGGTAGAACAGTAGCCAGGGTTTCTCCTTTTTTTCCCAGCTGCAAAGTGCTGCAGAACTCACTGTTGAGAATGAAGCATTTGGGGTGTACTTGATGACCTAATAGATATTCCCCAGGAATAGAACTGTGAAGGTCTGTGTGGGAGCTGAGACCCACATTCTCTGAGTGTGAGTGTTAAATGCTTATTCTGTACCTGCCAAGCTCTGCTTCACAGTGCTGACATTCTTTTCTACAAGGCTTTAGACAGAATAAAGCTGGGATTGTTGTTGTTGACTGTAAATGTTAATTGCTATTTCTTCTTTGAAGACTCTCAGTTCGATCTTTAACGTTGAGATGGTGAAAGACAAAACTGCAGAGGAAATAAAACAGGTAATGAATGAAAATGAGTAGGTATACTCCCTGAAAGTATTTGCTCTGATAAGCAAGTCTGAGAACAGAAAAGGTCATATATTTTTCTGACACCTTCTATCCCAAATGAAAAATAGTCATAAGGGACAAAAGTGATGAGTCACATAAGTAACAGTGACGTAAGAAACATGTCTTTCTTTGTCTTGCTTTTGTATGTCTCATCAACTTAGGTTTACCTTTCTTCTTTATTCCCATTGCCCAAATCTTATTTTACATCATCAGAACTCTGTGCCTGAGCACTGTACTACCTTTCCAAAGGCTCCCTGGTGTGGTCCTGCCACATAGTGGTGAGCAGAGCTGCCCTGCAAGTAGCTTTCCCTGCTCCCATTTTGCCTTAGGTTAGCTGAGTGCGCTTACTCTTCTTCCAGCCTTGCTGATTAAAGTGGAAACCTTCGGGAAAAGCTGCCCTTTTTAAGTCCTAGCTCTGCCACTTATTTGATTAGACAAGTTCATTTTTCAGGGCCTCAGTTTCCCCACTGTAAAGTGATAACAACTATATACCTACTTCTTGAACTATTTGAGAATTAAATGAGTTAACATTTGTGAAACACTCAGAATAAATCCTGGCACAGAGTGAGTGTTATAGCTGTGTTTTAAAATAAATGAAAAAATATTGTGTTGGGAACTTATTTGTAGATTTCCAGGGACAACCCCTCCCCTAACCCTACATTCACTTCCTTAGCATTGTGACTTAAGGACCTTCTGTAGAAGTTTCCTGAACATTTCCCTTGAAAGCGTTCATGATCTCTTCTGCCTGTTTGGTCATTCTATGTGCCTTGATTTGCATGGCTCATTTTTTTTGTTTGTTTGGTTGGTTTTGGTTTTTCAAAACAGAGTTTTGAAAACAAGACAGTCCTGGCTGTCTTGAAACTCACTTTGTAGGCCTCAAACTCAGAGTCCACCTGCCTTTGCTTCCCAAGTGCTGGGATTAAAGGCTTATGCCGCCACCACCTGATATATATATATATATATATATATATATATATATATATATATATATATTTATTTATTTATTTATTTATATTTCCTCTCTTGTAGCAGGAATTCTAGTTGGTCTTAGTAATAAAAACTCAGAGACAGATATTGAGGTTAAAGCTGAAATTCAGAGAAGCAAAACAGCCAGCTGCTAGAAAGTTCTCACTTTCTACCAATGCTCAGACTGAAAGGGGCAATCCTGTCCACAGACGGCATCTCCAGACTGCGTCTGTCTCCACCAAATCTCAAACTGTACTGAACTCCTGTCTCCTCCTGCCTTATATTCCTGTCTGGTTCTGGGATCCCAAGTGCTGAGATCACCTTTGTGTGGGCTTTGTTTCTCTTTTAGACTGGATCAATTTCGTGTAACTCAGGGTGGCCTTGACTTAACAGAAATCTGACTGCCTGTGTCTCCTGATTGCTGAGATTAAAGCTGTGTACCACCACTGCCTGGCTTCTATGGCTAAACTAGTGTGGCTAGCTTTGTACTCTAATCTTATGCAAGCTTTGTTTGTAAGGTCATAAACAAAATATCACCACCCTTTCTAGCTTGTATTAATCTACTTGAGCATTCTTTATACTTCTGTGAGTTATATTTTAGGTGTATATGCTAATTAACAACATATTAGTAAAAGGAATAATAAAAACAGGCAGCCATTATTCTTGTTTGCTTCATAGGTTTTTCTTCAATACATTCTGATGTCCACCCTGGGAAATAGATGCTGTTATTCCTAATTTAAAGACACAGGATTAAAAAGTAAATATGCAAAGCAGTGCACTAAAATTTAGCAGTTATAAATTTTAAAAAATCACCTCTGGAAAATATTGAAGATTCTTTATATCTTACAATATCAAATTCTAGCCAAGATTTAGTTCTTTGTTTAAAAATAAGCACACCCTCTCAACAGAATGCACATTTACATTTGTCTTTAATAAATGGTAAAATTATATGTATGTGAAAGAATTATTTTGAATATTTCTTTATGATTTATTATCAGTAAATGTTTGAAATGTGTGCCTATTTTATATTGCACATAGCCATATTCAAATTTCTCAGCCAAAAAGGAAAGTAAAAGTGGGAGAGCTTTTTTTTTTCCGAGACAGGGTTTCTCTGTGTAGCCCTGGCTGTTCTGGTACTAGTTCTATAGACCAAGCTGGCCTTGAACTCACTGAGATCTGCCCACTTCTGCCTCCCAAGTGCTGGGATTAAAAGCGTGCACCACCACTGTCTGGCTTGCAAGTGGAAAAACTTTAAGACACCCTAGTATAAACCAAATTCCCTCTGCTTGAAATGCCCCTCACATGCATGCCAAGCATGTGGTCTGCCACCAAGCTGTCCCCAGCATCACAGTCATCTGATACTGTTGGATTGCAGGACATTGGTGACAGCACAAGCAGATATCCTGTCTACAGAGAGCTTGCAAATTAGTGAAGGAGATGCATTCATACACTAATGACCATTTTATAGACTAACATATTTGTCTTAGTTTTCTTTTGCTGCAGTAAGACACCATGACCAAACGCATCTTGACATAAAACTAGCCAGCACAGTCTTTAGAGAGATGTGAAATGCAAAGACATTTCATAGGAAAACTTCTGACTGAAATGATGAAGGAAACGACATGGGGGAAAAAGCATATAAACTTAGTCTTAAATGTTAGGAAGAATAGATGGAGAACAAAATCAGAGATGGGAAAAAGAAAGCTTTCCAGTGAAAATCAATAACATGAAAAGCCATGGAAGACAATTAAAATAACAAGTAAAAAGTGTGAATCATATTGCATGTGTACTTTATATAATATAAAAATATATTCCTGAGAAAAACACCAAAATAATTCTTTTAGCTTATTAAGACTGGATTTTCCCCCTTTCCCCTGTTTGCTAATTTTATACTATATAAACCTACTCACCACTTTTGGGGATTTGTATCATGAAAGTCAACCGTACCCTCTTGTTCTTTGATGCCAGACAGAGAGGTAGGACTTGTGACTGCTCTGTACTCTAGTCCAATCCAGCAGGCTCTATCTGCTCCTGATATGTAGGACTTTCTGGAAGTGAAATTTTAAGAGCTGTCTGAAATATAGCAATAAAAGCTAACATGATTTTTAGGGTCTATTCTGCCAGTCTCAGGGTTCTGTTAGTTCAGTTAGTCTTCATAACAATCCTGTGATATCAGTGTCACCACTGTTTTATTGATGTTATTTCAGTTTCAGTGATTTGCCCAAGGTAGAATAGCTAGTAAGTGATTGAGGCTAGGATTTGCATCCCAGGCTGTTGAGTCCAGACCCTAAATTCTGAATGGCTCTCTGAGAAGGTCCATAGTTGGCTGGGGAGGTGTGAATTTGGGGAGGGGATAAAGAACCTGTGAAAAACTATCACCAATAAGATATATCCTGAAAGCAATTATGTCAGAGGTCATAGAAGTCATTTTTTGACTGTTATGTTTTAAATTTTTTTATGTGTATAAGTGTTCTGCCATCATGTATGTCTGTATGCCATCTGCATGCAGTACCTGTGGAGTCCAAAAGATTATCAGATCCCCTGGAACTGAAGTTACAAATAGTAGGTAGCTGCCATATGGGCAGTAGCAATTCGATCTGGGTCCTCTGCAAGAGTGGCCAATGCTTTTAACTGCTGAGCTATCTCTCCAGCGCCTTTTATTATTTTCAATTGTCTGTATGTATGGGGTTATGTGCACATGAGTGCAGGAACCTGCAGAGGCCAGAGGCATGGGATCTCACTGGTCTCCTAGCACTGAAGTTACAGGCAGTCATGAACTGCCTGATGGACTCTAAGAATCAAACTAGGTTCTCTTCAAAAAGCAGTAGATGCTGTTAACCACTGAGCCATCTCTCCCGCCCCCAGAGTTTATTGGGGTCTTGGAGAGATGACTCAAAAGTGAAGAATGCTTTCTGCTCTTCCAGAGGATCTGTGTTCAGTTTCCAGGACTCACATCAGGTGGCTCACAACTTCCAGGGATCCAACACCCCTTCTGACCTCCAGCTTCCAGGGATCCAACTTCCAGCTTTAACTCCAGCTTCCAGGGATCCAACACCCCTTCTGACCTCCGAGGACATCTTAATAATGTTATATGCACAAACATATACATTAAAAAATGAATCTTGCTAGGTGGTGGTGGGGCATGCTTTTAATCCCAGCACTTGAGAGGCAGAGGCAGGCAGATCTGTGAGTTGGTGCCAGCCTGATCTACAAAGTGAGTTCCAGTACAGCCAGGGCTATACAGAGAAACCCTGTCTTGGAAAACCAAAAAAAAAAAAAAAAAAAAAAAAAAAAAGAAAAGAAAAGAATCTTAGAAAGTTTTAAAGATTTATAGTTTAGTCATTCAGAAGATCTCAAGTTATTTATAATCATTTTAGCTGTAAAAACATTGCAGTGGAGTTTTACTCCCTATAATCAGATAGAATAATACTCTAAGAATAAAAGCTATCACTACTATTTCTTGGTGTACTCGAAAAGATTACCCACGTTATGGATTATTTATTTGTTTGTTTATTGCAGATTTGGCAGCAGTATTTTTCAGCAAAAGACACAGTCTACGCAGTTATCCCTGTAAGTAACTTGGAGGGGAAGCAGAAGCATTAGAGTATGAAGGTCAGCGCTCTAGCCCTCTCAGGCAGTTGCCCTTACTTTCCCGGTGTTTATGACATCTTGAGAACTTACACTTTACAGTTCTGAGATTTTTTTATTATGCCCTAAGCACCAGAGATTGGAAGCTCCATATGGTATATTTATGGCTTTTCTTTCCCACTTTCTGGTCTAGAAATATTTCCAAGTCTCTAACCAGGGAGGCTAGTTAAGTTCATGTTTCTGAGTGATTTCCAGGTGCATTTTATTTCATTTTCATTTTCCAACCAAACTGCTGGGATTCAAGACACTGCCTGCAGCATGGCTTTCTTCCCTTCTTGTCTGTAAATGGCAGGTGCCTGAGCCAACCTGGAGCTCCCTCCTGGCCTTTCTCCAGCTCCGCCCATAGCAGGAGGCATTTTCTTTGTCTTATCTTCTTGAAATTGTCTTAGAAGTGATCACTGGCCTTTGCCTTACCATTAAGGTCTATGACTAAGAAAGGATACAGCTGTCTTCTCTAATTAAGATTATATCTTAGTCTAGATCAGGTGTGATGGCAAACACCTTTAATCCCAGTGCTTGAGAGGTAGATAGAAGCAGAGGCAGGCAGGTGTCTCTGAGTTTGAGGCCAGCCTTGTGTACATAGCAAGTAGAAAAAGAAGAAAAAGATTATATTTTACCTTAAAGTACACTGAAGAACAGTTTTATTCTCAACTTACATAAGTATAAGACTAAGGAAGAAAATGCATACAGAAGAAAAAGCCAGGCCTTTTGATTTTGAAGAAATCCCTATCCTTGTTTTTTAACCTCTTATACATATATACTCCTACCTTCATGAACTCCACAGTCTAAACAATCTGTACTTGTCATTATGTTTTAGATCATTCATACCAACTCATTGCTTATACAGGCCTTCTCAAGTCTCCCTTGGATTCATAGGGTTCCTTGGAGACTTTGAATCATTGGAGCACTTCATCTTCACACATAATTTGTAGCAATGAGCAGCAAAATGTACATATGGTTTATCCTTTCTTTTTATCATAAGAATGATTTTTAAATGATGGAATAATTAAAAGACTGTGTTAGCCATAATATAGTTCTAGAATTCAGTCTTGAAAAATTCAGTTGATGTGACTTTTTGTGTTTTTCTATTTGTGAGTTAACTTTATTCTTTCCTAATTTGCAGAAAGAGAAGTTTGATTTGATTTGGAACCGGGCTCAGTCCTGCCCAACAGTAAGTCTGTGGTAACCATCTAGAATTGCTTATAAATGCTACCAAATAGTTCAAATAAGTCCTTCTCATGATATAATGCTCTCTTAACAAAGGTGTTCACATGTTAATTGTACTAATAAGTGATAATTTCATTCTTATGGTGTTTTATAATGGCTCTCTATCACATGTTAGGCCTTTTTGATATGGATCTTAATCTATCAGTGTATGTACATGAAAAGGCCCAGTGCAATAATGCACACCTTTAATTCCATTCAGCCTGGTCTATATAGCATGCTCCAGGCTAGCCAGGACTACATAGAGATACCCTGCCTCAATAAATTAAAGACTGACTGGATGATACTAGAAGGCACCTAAGACCTTAATCATTGCAACCTCCTTCAGATTCCTGTATTAGAATTTTCTTTATAGTTTTGTCCATATTATTCTGATAATATGTGCCAAATTAAATTCTTTTGTTATTTAAGTAGTGAAATAGATAGCTGATATGACAATGAACTTGTCAGCAGTGGTTACTAGGGTTTTTCTTAAATGTTGTTTGCAGAAAATAAAGACACCTAAGTAAACTGGAGACATATTCTGTTTGTGTGTTGGATGGCAATATTGCTAAATGTCAGCTCTTCTCAAATTTCATCTCTGATGCTTTCCTTCTTAGATGGGTTTAGAAATGTGTGGGTGTTTGTCATGCTATCACATAATTAATTTCATAATTAAAAAAATGTTTTTAAAGCTAAGCATTATGGAATGGGGATGTAAGTCAGTTGGTAGGTTACTTCACCTAGCATGCACAAAACCCCAGGTTCAATCCTCAGCACCCTGTAGACTGGGTGTAGTAGCACATGCTTAGCCCAAGACTTGAGAGATAGAGGCAGGAGAATCAGAAGTCAGATCATGCTTGGCTGTAAGTAAGTTTGAGGCCAGCCTGGGATCCATGAAACATTGTCTTTTACAAAAAGGGAGGCAGAGAAAAGAAGGAAGGAAGGAAAAAAGGAAGAGAAATTTAAAAAATAGACATTGAAGAAATAGAGTAAGTGATTAGACATTGAAAACTGCCTTCATTTATCCATCTGTCTGCTTGTTTTTCTGTCTCCCGCAGTTTCTTTGTGCACTACCAAGAAGAGATGGTTATGAGTTCTTTGTAGGACAATGGACAGGTACTGAGCTCCACTTCACTGCACTTATAAATATTCAGGTAGGTAACATGCCCTACAAAACACAGGGTAGAAAAAAGGACCCTGTCCTTTGGTGAGGCTAAAAGCCTTCCTGGGGGCTGGGGTACAGTATCTGCTGACTCCAGCCGTACTTGCTGTGGCACTGATGACAGTTTAGGCTAGTTTTCTAGGCTTCACTTAACACCAGAAATTTGAAGTCAGAATACCATTAGCTTCACTGTCTTTCTTTTGTCTTCTCCCTAGACCTCTATGGCATCTATTGTATGTTGCCTACTTAATAGACATGGATAAGTCAAGATGTTATATTCTTAACCCAAGCTATAAGCCCACTGAGGAAGGTTCCATGTCTCACCTGTGTTTTAGTAACCAAGAAAGCCTCTTCCACACTGGTAGATGAATAGTTTCCATTTCATAAATATTAATTTATTTTCTTTTCTTTCTCTGTTTTATTCCCAAAATATTTATTAGAGTGAGAAGTATAACTCAAAATATACTTGAAGCTCTTTTAAAAGGAGGTTGGTATTTTATTTCACAATAACTGGGATTGGCATTCTATATTTGGAGCTCACATCTGATAAAAAAAAAAAAAGGCATGTATTATTTTGGCTTTGACATTGAGGCAGATGGCACAAAATAGAATAAGGAGCAAGTTTTTACACTGTTGTTGGATAATTTGTTGAGTATATGCCGTGTTAACATTTGATAGATATTATACAATAGGTGTTTTATACTTGTCTTTTATTCCTCTCAAATGAAGTAGCTACTATTATTCTATTTATAGAGAGGTAAGTTTGTTTGTATTACTAATAAATAAACTATTTTGAGTCCAGGTTACCTGACTCCAAAGTCTGTAAACTTAGATATTTACCACTGTCTTAAGAACTCTGCTAGGTCCTATAGATGCATGAGAAAAGGAAAGAAGGAAGGAATTCATAGAGAAGTATATGATAGAGTCCGTAGCTAAGTATAAGAGAAGGAGCCAAATACAGAGTGGATGTTAACTCTAAATGTCCTTTTTAGCTTTCTTTTGCTGTAATAAAACACCATTCCAAAGCAACTTATGGAAGACAGGGTTTATTTGGGCTTACAGTTCCAGAGGGAGGCTCCATAATGGCCAGGCAGGCATGATAGCAAGTGGCCAGAGCCAGAAGCTGAGAGATTACTGTACTTCAACCATAAATGAGTGAAGCTATAAACTCTCACAGCCTCCTTCTGCCCCCAAGATGTGCCTCCTCCAGCAAGGCTCCACCTCCTAAAGATTCCCTAACTTTCCCCGAATAGTGCCACCAACTGGGGAGCAAGTGTTCAAATATCTGAGAGTTTGGGGGACATTCTTCATTTTAACACCAGTCTGTAATGCTTTCTTTCTTACATTGGTTGAGAAGTATATGTCTGTCTGTGATATGAAATTCATACATGAATTCATGTATGAATTTCATAACTTAAACTTATTGAGGTTTAACAAGGATCAGGAGAAACAAATAGGCTGAATAGATGTTTATTCAGGGAGAAATAACAAAACAGACAAATGAACACCAGTAGGTTCCTGGTCCCAAGGATGCCTCCGGATGGTCTCCTGTCCCCATGCTGCAAGCAAGAGAAGCTCTGGGGGGACAAAGTGAATATCTCACTACATAAACTCTCAGACAATCCTTCAGAAACATAATGATCAAAATAAGGAGTATTTATTAGGAATGTAGCCAGAACAATCAGTATACTAGAAGTGTATGTGAGGGAACTGAGAAGATAAACTGTTAAGAGTGCCTTAGCAATAGTTAGGTACAATAATTAAAGGATGCTTGCTAAAGCTTTAGGGATCAAGCCTGGGATTTGTTATTGAATGTATCTGTTTTCTTTCGTACTATGTAAAGGCATTGGCTTTACATTCAGCTTCTCTTCATAGACTGTACTTGAAGTCTGGTGACCTCACTTGGGTAACTTCTTCATGAAGTTACACAATTCCCATTATTCCTCCTTCCTGCACCAACCAGATAATATTTTAAAGCCACACAGTAGAAATCAGGCTCATGTGCAGACTCTACAGTGCTTTGCTGTAGCTTAAAAGAGCTCAGACTTCAAAGGAGCCATAGGCAGTGGATGAAATGTGCTAGTCCATAGATGTGGCAATTACACATAGGCATATCACTTTCTTTAGAACTTGACTTGGTAGCTGCCTGTACCATTTTGTTTTTAAATGGCTCACCACAATGAAGGATTCACTGCCTCCATAAACATTCTCTGGGAAAAAAGCCAGATCTTTTCCAATCAAAGATACAAATAACACCATGAAAACTGTCAGTTCACCATACCTTTGCAGGCCTGACCTTGCCCCTACATACCAGTGCTCTAACTCACTAGCTACCCAAAGGGCTATTAAGAGCTAGAATTTTCTCCAGACTCTGTTACTTTGAAATTGCAGTTTGTCGTGTTGGTACCATATTGAACTTTGATAAGTGTTCCTCCATGCAGACCCGAGGGGATGCTGCGACCAGCCAGTTGATTTTATATCACTATCCTGAACTTAAGGAAGAAAAAGGCATAGTGCTGATGACAGCAGAAATGGATTCCACTTTTCTGGTAAGAATCTGCATTTACCTCTTTGCATTTGCCTAGTAGTCCTGCAGGTGTTAACTCTTGTCAATGCCTCAGATCTAGATTAGGGAAAGATACCTTTGTGCATTTTGTTTCTCATGGTTGAAAATAATTTTGTGTTGTTTACATGCATCTAAGTTGAAGTACAGTTATCCACAGATAAATGGATGGTTTTATTTGTCAGTACTGGTTTCGTTTTACTTTTTAAGGGTGTGTGTGTGTGTGTATGTGTATACTCGCATGTTGTGGGTATGGGACACATGCCAAGACATGTGCGTGTGTATAAAAATCAAAGGATAATTTCTGGAAACCCATCCTCTCCTACCATTCAGGTATCAGCGGTCAAATTCAGGCCATCAAACTTACAGCAAGCACTTTAACCCACTGAGCCATCTCACTGGCCCTGAAAGTAGGTTATTTTATTTTGTTTGAAACAGGGACTCACTATGTAGCCCTAGATGGCCTGGTACTCACTTTGTAGACTGGGATGGCCTCAAACTCACAGAGATCCACCTGCCTCTGCCCACTGAGGGCTGGGATTAAAGATGTGTACCACCATGCCTGATGCTAAAAATAGTTTTACATTCTCATTTGATCACAAAATTTTACCTTTTGGAGATTAATTTTCATTTAAACTTACATGAGGTCATTTATAGTCATTATTCTCATTTAATACAGAATATTATTCATTTATTAAGGAAGTATGAATGTGTTTGGTTATGGGGCAATAATACACAGTTATATAGTATCATCACCTATACCTTTTTAAAATCCAGTAATACCAAAACCAAGACACATCTGGCCCTGGAGATTTCAAGTAAGACTATGGACACTTAAGTGACTTCTGAAGTGTAGGATGAGCTCAAAATCTAAAGTAGTAGTTGTGTCTTTATCTTCCTCTACACTGTTCATGGGTGTGAAACATTCATGATGGGGTTTCTTTTCCTCCTTTTCCATTCCCAATTATGTCACTAGGATAGAACATCAACTACATGCCCATAACTAATGCTGCCCATTGTGTTTTCCCAGGTACCAGAGACAGTTTTATGTCTATAATGCTTGCTTGTTTCCATTTCATTTGTCTGACAGAGGTTGACTGGGCTTAAGGATCCACTTTTTCCCTGACATTGGCTTTTCTGTAGGACTACTTGGGTATCTTTTTGATATGACAGCTTCCCAAAAACAAATGATTCAAGACATATTCTTTTATTCCCCAGTGTTAGAAGCAGCTAACTAAGTCCAGCCTCCTACTAGGAATGGAGGTTGGTGTTGATGGAGTTTCTTTCCCACCTTTTTGGTTTTGGTTTTGTGTTTGTGTTTTTGTTTTTTGTTTGTTTGTTTTGTTATTATTATTATAAACTGTTTGGCCAATCACTTAGGCTTCTTACTGGCTAGCTCGTTCTTAATTATTGGCCCATAACTATTAATCTATGTATTGCCACAAGGCTGTGGATTACCTGTAATCTGGCATGTTCCTCCTTCAGCAGCTACGTGGCGTTCCTTTGTGGCTCCTCTCCACGCCCTCTCCCCAGAATTCTCCTAATCTCGTTGCCCCGCCTATGCTTCCTGCCTGGCTACTGGCCAATCAGTGTTTTATTCATCACCAATAAGAGAAACATATATACTGAAGGACATCCCCATCAGGTTGGACTCTTGGAAAGAAGAGAGGGCCATGAACATGTGGACATTTTATAACCGTAACAACTAGCTTTGATACTGTTTTCCTGACTAGGTGCTTTTGATTACTGGTTGTATTGAAGAATGTCTAATTAGCCAAAAACTTAGTACTTGCAAACTGGTTCTTAGAGTTGAGTACTCTTGCCCCTCTCCCTCCTATGGATGTAATGGTTATTTAAGAACTAGATTAAAAGAGAAATTGTGAACATATGAACTAACTTACCTAGCAAACATCATGCCACTATGTGTAGGAACACACAAACAAGTCATGATATCTATATCTTTGAGGAATTTATATTAGAGAATGTAGATCAAAATGACAAATATATGAGAAAGCGATAACAGTGGTAAACGAGATGCCTTGACTACATGAAGAAGGAACATCTAACCAAAACTTGAGAAATCAGGGAGTCATAGAAGCTTTCCAGGAACAGTGTCTCTACTACAGAACTCAGATACAGAGCTTTGGCCCTGGGCAGGAAGGTACCTCACTACTCTCATTGCCTTGCAGAATGTCGCTGAGGCACAGTGCATCGCAAATCAGGTTCAACTCTTCTATGCCACTGATCAGAAGGAGATTTTTGGGCTAGTAGAGACCTTTAACTTCAGACCAAATGAGTTCAAATATATGTCTGTCATCGCTGAATTGGAGCAAAGTGGACTTGGAGCAGAACTGAAATGTGCCCAGAACCAGGATAAGACTTAGAGACATCTTGATTGGCCCTTCACTGAGTCATCTCAGTCCTGGCTAGCCTGAAGCCCACCCAAACCCTTGACCTCCAGAGCTCAACATCCGCAACAAGCAGTCTGTAAAGATACTACAAGAAGTGATTGTGGGCATGAACCCTAATACTTGATATTCAGGAACAAAGGTATACAAATATTCTGATAATTATTACCTCTCAGCCTAAGGGTTCCTTTTATGTGTTTCTGGGCATTTGAACAAGAAATATTTAGGGATCTACAAGACTATGGGCTGGGTTTTATTCAGTGTAACAGTGAAGTTGACTTAATAGCTCCCGGTTCTATGTCTTCGTAACCCTGTAGCAATAAGCTTGAGATCTTAGAGATGTCAGCTTTATGTATTCTTTCCCATGCACCAGTGAGCTGGCTAAAAATATAACCCAAAAATCCTGGCCAGACTCAATACAGCCAGCTATGCTACTCAGAAGGAAAATTTCTAGAAATCCCTCCAGAGTTGCCCTCCGTGTAACTCAGCGGCTTTCAGGTATAGTTAAATAAATAGGTACAGTGCCTGCATACGTTAAACCAACACTTATGGCCCTACTCTCTGAACTGTGCCTATGAGAAGCTGTGAGATGAATTAGTTCAGTATAAATAAAGCCTTTTTTATAAGGAGATCATTCCAGATTTGCATGATTAAAAAAAAATAAAAAACAAAAGCATTACATGAAAATGTGGGTAGAAGCAATGTCCCCAGATTGAGTATGGGGAATGCAGCAATAAAGTCTGGTTTTCAGTCTTCGTTACACAAAATAGTGGAAACTAAGCTGTGCGATGTTGGTGGCATCAGTGCTGTGGGTTAATTTTATCAGAACTCATCTTGGGGCTCAATGATTTCTTGAAGTGTCACAAATAAGCAAGTTAATTTGCCACCAGAAACACATGTATCACTCTAAAGCTCCAAGTTCACAGGTGAAAAGAATGGTGGGTCCATACCAGCCTCATTAACTCAAATTCCCAGGTGCCCCCAGTATTATTGCGGATCCCTGTACCATACCTCTCATTTAATCCAATATGCTCCACCTTCATCTGCCCCCCCCAGTCTGATGTTGGATGCCACCAAAAATGAATAGAAATGTGTGTATGTTCTTCATTATAGATTTGTTTTTTAGGGATGGCCTCTCTCAAAACTTTTTAAGTAGGTGTGGTGGTTTGAATAAGAATGGTCACTGTAGGCTCAGATATTTGAATGCTTAGTAACCAAGGAGTAGAAGCATTTGAAAGGAGTAAAAAGATGAGGAGCTGTGGCCCTGTTGGAGGAAGTGTGTCACTGGGGGTGGGCTTTGAGGTTTTAAAAGCCGATACCAGGCCCAGAGTGTCTCTCTCTCCCTCTTTCTTTCCTACCTTCCCTCCTTCCCCTCTCATCCTCTCCCATTTCCTCCCCTCCACCTCTTGGCCATGCAGGTCAGGATGTAGCTCTCAGCTACTTCTCTAATACCATTCCTGCCTGCTGCCATGCTCTCTGCGGTGATGATAATGGACTGAGCCTCTGAAACTGTAAGCAAGCCTCCCCAATTAAATGATTCATTATGAAAGTTGCCTTGGTTCATGATGTCTCTTCCCAACAACAGAACAGTAACTAAGACAGTAGGGTTGGCCACCCCATTGTTTTCTAGATGGAGAAACAGTGTTTACTTAAACAGAAGCTATGCTGTGCTTTCAGTTTCTCTAAAGGTTGAGTTGTTTTCTGATGCAACTTCTAGGCCCTCCGTGGGCCCAATAGTGTACATTTGAGAACTTGAGTGCTATCAGTACTGCAGTTCTCCTTAAATGCCTTCCACAATTCTCAGTGATACACATTTCGGGACTTGGCATTGGGTAGGGCTGCTTTTGTGGGTACCCAGCATGAGTATTTGTTTTGTTTTGTTTTTCTTCAGATAGACCCATTTCTCAGTCATAGAACATTTTCAAGACATCTATACTAAAAGGTGAAAAAAAAAAAGATGAAAAAAAACATTTAAAAAGAACTAGCCATTTATTTCATAGCTCCTCCCAGCTTTGCCCTCAATCCCATCTTGCCAAATAAGGATGATATATCCATGGCTAATTATATCAGATGTGACTGAAGCACCACCTGACTGTTAATATTTATTTTACCAAAGAGATGGAGCAAGTAATAAATGAAAACTATAGCAGTTAGTCTGTAAATGTCTTCGCTGATCCAAGCATAGTGTTTCTAAGGTGGGCTTTGGAGCTCATTGAATTGGGTTCAGATGTCAGCATTACTTTCATTAGCTTATTAGTGATGTTACTTAAACTCTAATTCTTACCTTCTGAACATGGGGATGAGATCTAGCTACCTCATAGAATTATTTTGAGACTTCAGTTAGTTTGTATATAGACTACAATAGAATTCAGTACATGCTGGGTCCCTTCCTCTTCTTTACTTCTTCATTAAAGACCAGCACAGGGCTAGGAATAGCTCAGTGGTGGAACTTTGTTCCCAGCACGAATCAGGCCCTGTGTTTGGTTCCCAGCACCAGACAGGAAGAAGGTTAAGTCAGCATTTCAGAAGCACAGATGATTCTTCATTTCAGCTTAAACAACCAACTCTGTCTCACTGGTTCTCAACTTAAGATACAGTGGGATCACTTAAGACACTTAAAAGACGCAGTTCCTGGATGCTGACAGACTGAATCAAAGTGAGCAGAAAGCACTAACAACCTGCACTTTAGCATGTATTCTAGGTAATTCTGATGTGGGTAATTAGTGAGCCTAGTGAACCATTGCCTTATCGCTTATGAAAATGTCCACAAGACGGTCTTTACTCACCACAGACATTCACATACGATGTAGATTCCTCAGCTCTTTGTCTTCCTAATAGTCCTTTTATGTACTCTACTTACATTACATTATATTTATTTTTGTGTGTTTACCCCACTAGACTGTGAGCTCCTTGAGGGACAGGATTTATCTTTATTCTCAGTGCCAAGGACATGACATGAACCACAAAAGAAACTCAGCTGTTGAACAAATAAATGATATAGATTTTAGCCATAAACTCTTATTGACTTACGCATTTTTCTCTGTTTGAGTTCTGTAATGTTGTGGTACTCTCCACACTCCTATTTTTGAACATTTGGTCCACTGCTGGTGGCACAATTTGGGAGGGTTGTAGTACCCAGATGGCAAAGATGGCCTTAAACATTATGCCAGGTTCTAGTTTGAGATTACTGTTTCCTGATCCATGGCCTCAATGTGAACAAGTCTCAGCTACCACCCTCCCACTGCAGGGAACTCTGCCAGGCTTCCCCAGTCCTGATGGACTGACTACACCTGCTGAAAGCACAAACCCAAGTAAATCCTTTCTTAAGCTGTCTGGTCACAGAGACACAAAAGTGACTAGAGACTCACTTGAACTTAAGACTATCTATTGACCATCTATCTCTCTCACATTCTCATACTCATTCTCACTCTCTCCCACTAGTCCCACCCCAGAGAGGGGTTTTTATTATCATCATTATTATTATTATTATTATTATTATTATTATTATTATTATTATTATTAAATTGTGCTGAGCCATAATGGCACACACCTTTAATCCCAGCACTTTGGAGGTAGAAGCATACAAATCTCTAAGTTCAGAGCCATTACACAAAGAAAAAAACCTGTCTCAAATAAACAAAAACAAACAAAAAATTAAATGTATGAGCATTTTGCCAATATGTATGTTTGCACATCACATGCATGTATGATGCCTATGATGGCCAAAGGGGGGGGGTGTTGGGTCCCCTAGAACTGGAGTTCCAGGTGGTTGTGAGCTACCATGTGGGTGCTAGGAATCAAACCCAGGTCCTTTAGAAAAGAGATCAGTGTGCTTAATAACTAAGCCATCTCTCCAGCCCCAATGCCTCTCAGATGTTTGAGACAGGATCTCATATAGCCCAAGTTAGCTTCATTATATGGCTAAACCTAGCCCTGGTCTGCCTGCCTCCACCTCCTAAGTAAGCACTGGGATTACAGACATGCACTACTATTCCTGACTTTTCTCTCTTTTAGGTAGTAAGGCAGAGTTGTTTTAGTGCTAGGAATTAAGCCTTCACACATGTTAGTCAAACACTCTGCCAGGGAACTATATCCCCAGCTATAGCAACTCAGCAGCTGCTCACATCACAAAGCACCTACTGCTAGGTTCAGTGCTGCACATGGGAGGTGGCGGGGCGAAGAGGGGGGCGGCAACCCCTGTCCTCAAGCTTTGTATCCGCCACTTGTTTCTTGCCTCTGATTCTGAGACTTATATCTAGAACCTGGTCTTACTTTGAGTTATCCTCAGAATATTCATACTTATTTTGTTTCTCTTCCAACTTATTTAGAAGGTAGAGCTAGCTATTCTATACAAGAGTATAGTCTGGGAGAAGAGGCACAGATGCCCACTCCCCCAGGCACTTAATAAAAGCTTATTTAGGCAGTTACACTTACCAAGCACTTGCTTATATACTGACCACTTAAAAGGAGAATATATCAGGTGACAGGACAGAGAGGACCTCTACTCCCAGCAGCTTATATTCCCATAACAAAAACAAGTAAGTCAACTGGTAAAATTATCTCAACTCAAATACCAGCAGCTGTAAAACATAATGGACTGTTGAGTGAAAGCAATAACGTACTAGCCAGGAAAGCTATCTTCACAGAGGCCACTATTGAATATGTGAGCTGAAGAGAAAATAGCAGGTGTGAAGATTTTGAAGCATAACCATAGTTGTTTCTGGGCATAGGTTGAGTCCCTGGCCTTGAGCAAGACACTGACATGCACAATGACAACACAAGGCAGTAACCAATGCCATCTCAGAGAAGGGCAGGGAGGGCTTGCCCCTATCTGTTGTGTCAGGAGGCACAAGGCTTGCTAGAGCATGGTACCTGCTAAGATGATAGGTAGCTTATAGCCTAATAGAAAATAACAGGTAAAGATTACTAAAGTCTCAAAAGATGTGTTTTATGTGTATGCTCATATTTACACGTACATAAAACACAAAGGGAAGAGTGAGGGATTTTTCAGGCAAAATATAGACGATCCTGAGCCCAAGTCACAATGTGTACATGTTAACAGTAGCCACTAGCATTTTCTGAGGACTTACCATATGCCAGACACTACATGGGTTACCTTAGTCCCACCTGGAGGTCAGCAAGAACCTGCTGAACTGGGAGAGAGATGCACTGCCTACTCTCCTGTCCTCCCCCACCTCCAACTCAGAAGAGAGCAACCTCCAATCCCCTCAAACTCTAGCCATAGCTATAAGCTCATGTCTCCAGAAGGCAGTAGTAGTAGCAGGGCCAGTCCAAAGACACTTGTCTGCCGAATCTCCTGGGGATAAAACAACAATGTGAATGTTTTGAAGGACACCCTGATCTAACTGGCCAGAACCCTTCTGGTGCATTGCTTGATGCTCATGCAACAACTGGTCCTCTCCTCTCCATTCTACTGGTATAACAGTATGGTGGCATTTTTATTTCTGCTAACAGACTTCGAGCAAAGGAGAGAGGTGACTTAAAGGTTTCCTTTTTCATATCCATTCACACAGAGTTACTTCAGGGCTACTTGGGCCTCAAGAACTGGGATATAGCGGCCCATCTATCTTTTAAGTCAAAAAAATAAATAATAAATAAAAATACTCAATAACTATAAGAAAAAAGATTCACAAACAAACATGCCTCCTAGGATCCTCAGAGCATTCAAGACAGAGTTCCTTTGCTCAGCTCACAAGGGCTTTGGGATCTGGTACCTCCTGACTTCTCCAGGCTTCCTCTTGTCTCTTTCTGGGCTCCTTAGCTACAGCCATTCTATTGACAGTTCCTTGATCACTGTGCTCTGACTTCCTACCTCGGATCTGGTCCCTTTTGTCTGTCTATACCCCTTTCATCAAATTATTTCCTGTCTTTCAAACTCCCACCAATGCATCTCTACCCTCTTTCCCCAAGTCCTATTGTCCCCACGTTGCTCCTGTATGGGTCACATTTCAAGCTTAGCCTTTACAAAGATGATAGCCTTTAGAGACAGAATTATATTCCTGTGTTCCAGCATGAAATCCTACAGAGAGAGAGGAGGTCCTGAGGATTCTGAATAAATTCTCAGGCGACCACTAAACTCAAACCTGCCTGCATCTATAAGCATCCCTGAGGTCCAGCCCTAGCAAACATGGTAATTGTGTCCCAGTCTCAGACAGTGGCTATTTTGCTTACTCTAGAAGCTACATGTAGAAAACAAAGGCAAGGGGCTGCCATACAAACCAGCCAAGTCTAGAACTGCTAAGCAGGAAGAACAGAAAGATATTAAAGCAGCAAACTGGCTTATTTGAGTTCTTGTCCTACTTCACTATGTCTCAATAGTAAAAGACTCTTTAGAGATTGTCCTTCACAAAATTCCAAGATCTCCTAAGAGGTAGGCAACTTGAGAGTCTGGTCCTTACCTCCAACTCATCCAGAGAATTAATGTTTATTTACTACTAAGTTTAAGGGCTGGAGAAATGGCTCAGTGTTTAAGAGCACTGGCTACTTTTCCAGAGGACCCGGGTTCAATTCTCAGCACACAGATGGCAGCTCCCAGCTGTTTGTAACTCCAGTTCTAGAGGATCCTCACACAGACCAAATATAGTCAAAACAACAATTCACACTAAGTTTAAAACATTGCCAACTTGTCTCTCTAGACTGGTGGTTCACTGTGACCCCAGATCATTTATGGCGTGACATGATCACCATCTTGCATTCTTATGTCTTCAACCATTTCTCATTCTGACCTTGTCTCTGATCAGACAAAGGATAGCAGACATGTCTTTTTTATTTTTTATTATTATTATTATTATTATTATTATTATTATTATTATATGAAGAAAGAGGAAGCACAGTGTTTGCTGAGACTTGTTTGACGTACAAAATCCCAACAGACTCCAGACACTTTTGCTTCCATGACCAGATTTCTTTATTTGACCTTTTCAGTAGTACAGAGAAGGTAATATGTAGAGAGCCACCAGTGCCATTCCCGAAGATGGCGCCAGTTTCCTGTCCATAAGCCAGCAAGGCGCGGATGCGCGATCCACATCATGGGGTGACCGTTACGAGCGGGCTGCAACTGTCAGTAATGGACACGACTCCTCTGAGCATATATAAGCAGAGCCCTTTTTCCTCCTTGGGGTCTTCCCTCAACTTGCTGTAATGAGCCGCGCAATAAACATAGCTGCAGAAGAATCCTGTTGTTGAGCGTCGTTCTTGCAGGCAAGGCGATAGCGCTCGACAGTAATATTAAGTTCCCATTTTATGCAGCCTTATAGACTACAGCCAGGATTTCTGAATCTTCTTCGAATCCCCCATGAGAGTGCCCCTTACCAGCAGGAAGTAGTTTGGAAAGAACAACGCCCAAATTCCCAAATATTGTGTATAAATGTTTGTTTTCATTTAATTGGACTTTGTTATATAAAATAAATTTTAAAAAATTAAAAAAAAGTTCCCATTTTATAGATGAGAACACTGGGGAAACTGCATTGTAAATTTTGAGTCAGATCTAAATGAAAACCCCAGCTTTGTCTCTTACTACTTATCTAATCATACACTCTGAGTCCTTGAGTTCTCATCTATAAATGAAATAATAATCCTGTCTCCAAAGTTAAGAGATAATAAAAACAATGGGGTATATATAATGCCTAACACTCTAATGAAAGTACAAATTAGTAGCTGCTATACTGAGCCTCTGACCAACTCAAGGTGCATGTCCCCATAAGGAAATAGCACTTCTGGAATGTAAATCTTCCTTTAGAATATAGGCCTTCTATTTCAGGAACATATATTTCTATTCTGCTATTTCCTATACCATGTTGGCATTTTCTGAAATCCTTTCCTGGGAATTTTGGACAGTTTGAGCCCTGGTCAGATGAGGAACATGTGTTGAGAATTTTGGGAGTCTTTGCTGGACTCATAAGCTGGGGTGTAGAAAGAAAGAAGAGAAAGCAGATTAAACTCAGGTCAGATCATACAGGTTAAGGTAATGACCTAGCACTCACTAGTAGGAGTCT